AAATCATGAAAACCATGGAAACCGCAGACAAATCATGGAAACCATGGAAACCATGGAAACCGCAGACAAATCATGGAAACCATGGAAACCATGGAAACCGCAAAGAGATCATGGAAACCATGGAAACCGCAGACAAATCATGGAAACCATGGAGAACCATGGAAACCGCAAAGAAATCATGGAAACCATGGAAACCGCACAGACATCATGGAAACCATGGAAACCATGGAAACCATGGAAACCGCAAGAAGAAATCATGAAAACCATGGAAACCGCAGACAAATCATGGAAACCATGGAAACCATGGAAACCGCAAAGAAATCATGGAAACCATGGAAACCATGGAAACCGCAAAGAGATCATGGAAACCACAAAAACCATGGAAACCGCAAAGAAAGTATGAAAACCATGGAAACCATGGAAACCACACAGATATCATGGAAACCATGGCACAGAGTGTGTCGCGTTTCAAAATGAGTAATAAAGTCGCGTTTCAAATTGAGTATTATCCCGCGTTCTAAAACGAAACCTTCCCAATGAAATGCACATTATGTTCTTGGACTTCATGAGGGAGTTTCCAACTTCGTGCTCAACAAGCTCTTCAATAAAAGTCAAATCATCACGATCATTGTCCAGCTTGATCAACATGTCGAACTTGGGGCCAATAATGATTCTAACTTCATCAACAAAACGATGGAGTCCACATCTATCCATGATGATAGCTTTGGCCCGTGCCCGGACTGAACCGAGGGTGTTGTCGGATTTGGACTGATCGTCGGTCAGATCATCGACCTTCCAGAAGACATATGGCTTGTTGGTGTCACGATACATACGTTTGGGTAATCCCTCTTGGTAATTTTCAATGGCAATCTCGTGCATTTCAGGTTCCAGATCAAAAGAGATTCTGCGAATATCAGAAGACTTCTTTGCGCTGGCTATCCTCGGTGAGGTATAATCCATAGAATCTTCATTGTCGCTGTCAAAGAAGGAGTCAATGGTAATGGGAGTCGCTTTCTTCTTTGGTGTCTTCTTGCTGGTTCTTTCTGAGGATGCTGAAGGCGATTGGTCTGCATGTAGGAATTTACATTTGCTCCCAAACGTGCAGGTACCCTTCTGCCAATTCCAACATACCTTCTTTTTGGGTCCAACTGAAGATGAACTTCCTTTACTCTTTCCCCTTGATGAATCTCGACTTCCACTTCTGCCTTTCTTACCTTTCATCTTGGCATCATAGACCTTCTGAGAATGACTGTAAAGACATTTGTCACTTGTTGCATCCTCCTTTATTGAAGAAGTAGTTACAGAAAATCTTCTTCTTGTCAACGGGTGAAGATGATCTTCCCTTCCCACCTTTGCCTTTCTTGTTGTTCTTGTCGGCATGAGATTTCGGAGAAGGTGTTGGAAGTACTAATGCAGCTTCACTCTTCGCTTTCGCCTTAGGCCGTTTGGGAGGATCACCTGTAGACGATGCAGCTGCTTCATTCTCCTTCTTGGTCTTGACGGGAGCGGCAGGCTTGCCTGCATCTTCTAAGGCAGGTGTCGTCTTGTTAGAGGACAATGACAGTTTCACTGCACGTTCTCTATCCTTCAACAGTCGTTCTTGTTTTCCTCTTGCTATGTATCCTTTGATCATACCAGTTAGGTAAACATAGGTCTTCTCAGGATGCCCTTCATCAAAGGTTTTGTATCGGTTGATATCAAAGGCCATAAGCTTTGAGTGTTCAATCTTCCGGAACAATGTGTCACGCAGGGAATTGTTGGAAGGCAAATCATCATGTTTCATGTTGTATACGATGTCAAGCCACTTGTTGTAGAAGGCCTCAAGCTGGTCATCTCCATAGTAGTTGAACATATACAAATGATGGGCGTTGTAGAGAACTTCAGTATGGTCAGGTGACTTGAAGCTAATCAGTATCATTGCGAATAGTTCTCGTCCCTTGATGAAGTCCCCACTTCTCCCATACAATTGGTTCTTCATGGACATGTCATACTTCACTTGCATGGACTTGTCCCCAGCATTGTCAATGACTTTCCTCAAGGCATTGGAGAGCTTGGCATCAATGGATTGGAATCTCACATCAGGTGCTTTGGCCAGAACCTCCAAGTCAGGCTGATCTGCAAGACACGGAGCTAGCCATGCTTTCCAATCTTCATAGTTTCGATCCCCACTTGCAACACAAACTTCATGAACAACACTTCCCTTCCAGGATGAAAGTTCAGTGGTCTTAGGCCAGGGTTGGAGGCTGATCTTTTCTGCTTCTCTTAGAGATACGGATGACTTGGATCTATCCCTTTCAAGGTTCTCCAACTCCTTGACATTGGTGTTGTACTCGTTCCTGAGCTTTTCGAAGGCTTCAGCTTCTGCTCGGTATTCCTGCTCTTCATCGTTGGCGCGATCTTCAGCTTGAGAGAAATTGTTCTTGTAATAATCTTTCCGATCTTCCATCTTCTTCAACTCATCTTGAAGATTTCGAACTTCATTGTTCTTCTCTTGCTTCATCTCGTCCAACTCTGCTTTCAGTTTGGCACACTTCTCTTCACATTCATTCCGAGGCATAGCATTACTGGGGTACCCATGTAATGTAGTCGGTCTATTCTTTGATGAAGAAGAATGAGCTTGATTTTCCAACTTCAGGGCAGCAATAGTGCTCGACATCTCTTCTACCTCAGCGAAACGCTCATTGGCCAATTGATGCATCTCAGTCAAGTGGCTTTCAGGAATGGAATAGTCAGTCGCACCTTTGATCACGAGTCTTCTGTCGTTCAACATCTTGATGGACTTACCTGCATCCCTGTGAGCACGCTCAAGAGAATCCTTTTGGGCTTCAAGTTCAGTATGAAGGCGAGCAATAGCTGTGTCCCTGTCATTGATTTCATTGTGCAAACTGTCGAACAAATCACTCGTCACATTCGGATTGTTGCTCATGTGATCGATCTTGTTCAGAGCATCTTGATATTTCTTACCAGTTTCATCGAAGTTTCGCTGGAAGACTTTGAGCAGGTCCTCAGTGTCAATGAGTTCAGTTCTGTTCTGCAAGTACAACTTGTCAACTTCAGCCTTGCATTCTTTCAAGCTGTCACGCTCACGCACGGCTTGCATATACATCTCGTATAGAGGTCCTCCATGCGGTGATCTGCTTGGCGAGGATCTTCTGGCTTGTTGACAGGAAAGTTCATGATACTGATTCTTCGATTCAGTCAGTTGTTGTTGCATTCGATCTAAAAGACTTTGTTTCATGTGTAATTAGTTCAGAACGTAGTCCCATTATCCTCATGTCCCGCATGCCGCCTGATTCAGCTAGAGATTCTTCAGAAACCCTGTTCTCAGAAATCGCTAGTCGAGATTGTAAGTTTTCATTGTGGATCACCTGCAATCGAAGTTGCGATTCTTCCAAAGCTAAGTGATGTTCACATTCTGCATAACGGTCATGTTCAGATCTTATGTTACTACGGAACTCCTTCATGATCTCGTCCCTCTTCATGTCAGCAGCATCAAGCTCAGTTTCCAGTCGTCTAACGTTCATGGACATGGTGTGCTTCATTGTCTGATTTTGATTGGCAACCTCGAGCATCTCGATCTGTAAAGCACATGTTTGATCATTGGCGTAGCCGACCGCTAGAGCTTCCTGCTTGGCATTCATCTCCGCGTTTTCCAGTTCCAGTCTAAGTTGATTGATGTGAGCGTTCGCATCGGCGCCCACATGTACCATAATTGCGCTCGCTTGTCCCATTTGTTCATCGAATTCCGAGCGTAGTCGTGAATATTTGAATTCCAAATGAGATGCAGCTTCATTCGACATAGTCTGATACCTTTCCAACTCTTCGATCCTGTAGGTCGCACCTTCATCTTCTTGTTGTGCAGCCTGTAATTCGAAGTTCAGCATCTGGAGTTGTTCGGTCATCGACATCATCTCTTGATGGGTGGTGCTTTCCAGGAAATTAAATTGTTGATAGGCATAAGCTGTCGTTTCGGCCAATCTTGCCTGAAGTACGGATTCTTCTTCAGTGGCCTTTTCCAGTGATGTCTTGTATTCACTCTGATAGGCAGTGAAGATGTCGCTACCACTCGATGGGGCGTTCACTTGTTGATAAGATCCTGTCCCTGATGGAGTAGCGTCCTGAATCGGTGAAGGCGGATTCGACGACGTAGTCTTTGCCTTGGTCCTTGGAGTCATCGGAGGCGACAATTGTCGTGCAGATGATCTTCTCTTTCCAGGTGTGCTGTCCCTATCTTCAATTGCTTGCATTGTCGAAATTTGTCTCCCTCTAGGAGCAACCAGAGGTCGCCTGGGTAGGCTTGTTCTCAGTTCTGAGGCATCGCTTCCACCAGTGTCGATACTCTGTGAAGAATTTGACTGCGTGCCGGCAGCTGGTGCAACGGCATGTCCAGAGAAAGAAAATGCATTATCGCTGCTATCCTGTTCAGTCATCTGTAAGGCCCGCGGCTACCCGCTCGTAGGCTCCGTAGGAGTCCTACGGCTGATAACCTGAGAATCGGGGATTGTTTGTCCGATTATGTCCTGGTACTTGGTTGTGAGGTAGATACTTCGGCAATGACGTCACGAGGGTGGCGGCTTCTGCATGGCAATTCTTTATTCTGGCGCTGCAGTGGGTCTTGAGCCAAAAGGGCGATTGTCGTACCCTTTGGCCGTGGATCTTAGAGTGTTGAATTATATGATATTGTACAATGGTCCGTAGCTTACACTCTATTCGCATAGTGTGTATATATAGTGTGTATATATATAATGTATATATAATGCATATATGTATATATATATATATTGTATATATATGTATATAATAACGTGTATATACATATATAAGGTATATACATATATATATATAAGGTATATATATATATAATAACGTGTATATATATATATATAGATAATTATATATATATACACTAGTATCATGTTGTCACCGGAAAAAGACACATTTTCATTAAAGGGGCCAAATCCCCCAAGGGCCGGTCCCCCTTGACAAGCCAACTTGAGGCTCCAGCCACTTGCGCAGCGGCCACGCCAAAACGATGCCTGGAGCAGCAAAAACTCGGAAACTGGTGGCCTCACCCTTTGGTAAACTAACATAGCTTTGAAAAATCGCACACTTAATAGGTTTACATATAGGTAAAACATATATAAATGGGTGGTTTTCTATAGCTAAGTTTGTTTACTGGCGGGATTGGAGGAACATAAACCAACAACACGATGTTGAATTGCTGGATAATCCAAAGCCACAGATTCTGCTGAGAATCAGAACACCTCGCACTATCCGAGGATATTCTTTGGACTCGACCAATTAAAGATAGGTAAACTTACCAAAACTAGCCCAACACTATTCCAAACTGGGGATTTACAAAAAGAAATAAGGAATGGGGGGTGTAACAAAAAACAAATGGTTCTGCTCTGAAAAAGAGGTACTGTACCCCTACATCTATTGGTGAGTCATCATCTTCCCGCTAAAGCGACAATGTCCAAGGTACACCCTGTTTCTAAACAAACCCAAGTGATGAATTCAACCCCACTACTTATTGCTTAAGGGACCTTGCACCCACTTTATAAAATCATGCTTTAGTAGCCACCCCTTTTTAGATATTGGTCTTGAATAGCTCTCAAATTGTTTATTGCATTCGTTTTACACCAGTATAATTAGTGGGTAAAACTGAGTAAATGCGAGCATCAAGCAATCTTAAGTTAAGAGAGGTACAAAGGAATAAGTAATATGAAACTAAAGGAATTAAACTCACAAACATGTGCTAAACAGCCATCTTGAGATATATCAAAGTAAGACCTGCAGAAAACATACAAAAGGATATCACCATTGTTGTAGCATGTTTTTCTGTTTTGTGTTTTTCAAAAGGGCTGCTACAAGTGTAACCCCATCCTCCTAAAATTCAATGCCATTAATATTTGGGACCGCAATTCATGAATAGATCCAATACATTTGATCAGGGTTTTCTATTGAAGAGTATTGACTATGATATACTATGATCGGGTCATGGGATTTTCTATCTGAAATCAGTTGCTTTTGATTTTTTCAATACCATCTGGTTATTTAACATAGCCATGGAAAATCACCATTTTTAATAGGTAAACCATCTATAAATGGGCCATTTTCCATGGCTATGTTAAATAACCAGAGAGTAACTCTCGAATTCATTTTGTGATGTTGTTGGGATACCCCATTTTAAGAAACAGCCATATGAGCCATGTTTTTATCCTCATCAATGGTAGACCATCCCAATCATCCTACGGATCTATCGTAGTACGACTGTTGATTACAGCTGCTAATCCCATGACATCCCATATCCGATGAAATCCCTATATAGATATAGCTGGCAATGTCATATATCCAATCCTTATCCTTTTTTTAGCTGAGAAAATTATAAAAAATCACCTGAATCTTGCGACCATTTGGGGATCATTTCCCTGAAACAAACCGTGATTCCAGGGTTCGGGAGAACAGTGAGGTCGTGATTAAATTTACCAAAGTTTTAACTGGGAAATCACCATCCACATCCACGATAACGCAAGAATCACCCACCCATATGGATTGATGGTTTATACCAGCAATTTATGGTAAATTTGGAGATGGTTTACTCTTGCTTTCCTAACATTCACACTATATTACATTATATTACATATGTGTGGCCATGGTGGTATATAATCTGTGTCAATACCCATTTTGGTGGTTAAATCCCAGGTAGCCCTCCCACAATCAAACGTGGTGGGCTAGCAAATCCCCGAACTTCCAGCGAGCCATGTTGGTTGAGAACAGGATGCCGCGTTCATAGTTATCAAATCCCCAGTTCTTGTTGGTTAGTATCATCCCAACTCAGCAACCAACCATCATTCATGACCTATGTCACTATCTTCCCACATCAATTTTGATGTGTTCATTTTATCATTTTGCTCTCCCAGAAAAGAACAACTATCATTGATATTCTCACATATTCTCACATAATTGAATGGTTTAACTGTTGTTTAACTCCCTATGAACCAACAAAAATCATCCACCCGAACCCGGTTAAGCCGCCTGGGCATGGGCGCCAGGGTGGACCAACTGGAGGCCGAGGAATCAAAGACTTCCACCTGGACAAAAAAAAGCTGCGATGAACAGCCACTGGATGTGGAGATTTAAGGATGATTTTATTGATGATTGATGATTATTGATGATGATTGATGGGATGATTGATGATTATTGATGATGACTGAATGGTCATTTGAATTGGACTAAGCCAATCAAAATGGTGATTTCGGGGTGATTTAACCATGATTAAGCCAGTACACATGTTTCGTGGTGATTTGGCACTGTGTCCTAACTCGGCCTAAAAGAGCAACCACATAATCCAGGGGTTTGCCATGTGTATTTTATTGATATATGATATATTCATGACATGTTATCTTCATTGTTACTATTATTATTGCTATTCTTATTGTTGATTGATAACTAATCATTAACATAATTGTTTATTATGTACTGTATGTATATGTCAATCTCTAGGGGTGTTTAAAGCTCTGGAGTTTTTAGAGTCAATTCACAGGTTCGAACGCTTCGAACTGCCACAATTTCCCCAAAAGTGTTGGAAATGTATTTTTCAATATCAAAATCGCAAAAAATCAAAAACGTTGAAACTACCATATCCTATCTCTTTTTTCACGATGATCATATATCATATATGTATGGAAACATGCAGTACCCATGTCGCTTGGTGGATGTCTTTGGAGCTGAAGAAGAAAGATACCATTAATATGTTCTTGGGATCCCATTCATAGTCCATTGATATTCCATTAATATTCCATTAAATTAATATGTATAAAATCTACCTCAGAACCATGCTCCTCCCGGCAACCAGCTTGGTCGTGCGATTAATATTCGGTTCATATATATATATTATATTATATATATATATTATATTCTATATAATCTATCCAAACGGGATAGATTCGGAGATGCACATCAAGACAAAGCCAGCGGTAGCTGTGACCAGACTCCCTACGCACTTTGGTGGTGACATACGATGGGGCCCATAGATATTGCAACTTCGATCCCTCCAGTCAACTAACATAGATATCAAAAATCCGTGGTTTCTCATTCGGACATGTTCTACACAAATGATGGATCTTTCCATCACTGTTTCTATCTTTACTGATGGACATTTCCTACCAGGGAAATGACATCTGATGCCAAGCTGAAATCATATTGCGATCAGCATTGACTCCTGTTTCGGGGCCACGGCCATTTAGGGATCCATTTGTTTCGGGGCCTGTTGATGGCTCAAGCCCTGGAAAAGAACCTCTTCGCTTTAGTGCAAAGAAAACACGGAAATACTAAACACACACGCACACACCAAAAAAAAAATAACAAAGATGACTTGCCGAAAAAGGAATGTAGTTCTTTCTTGTCTTGACAGCGGAAAAAAAAACAACTGTGACCCCTTGAAGGTCATCGACCACCTTTCAGGGCCACCATGGGGTACCTATTTTCAGTTGAACCCGTTTGAAACCAACAAAGTTGGCATTGCCTTCACTTTGACTGCTGAGAAGGGCTGTTTCATGTCACTGGGAGCGGGGAGAGTACGTGGCACCAGGGCCCAAAATATGTCAACCATAACAGCTTTGACCAAAATATATGCAACAGAAAGTGGCAAAAACCGTAAACATGGAAAGCGGCAGGAACAGTCTTCAAGGTCATTGAAACAAAGAGACCCTGTTGACGCTTTAAAAACCTAACCAAGACTTCTGAAAACAATTTCATCCTCCAAGACGCGTTGCGTCCCTGCCTACTGCATAGATGCTGCCATGGAGTTCCGCCGCTGCACCTGTGGCCAAGAATCCAGCTGTCGAAAGATGGACATGAGAATAAGTGTCCTGAAAAAATATAAAATAGTAATGTTGTATATATATATGTGATTGTATATCTGGTCATTATATATGATGATTATGTATGATGATTATAGTCTATAGACATTCTGCTTCCTATTGTGATAGTTTTTTTGATAGAATCATTATGATTGAGAAACTAATAGTAATATTACTAACTAGAAGAATAGTATTCATGACAATCTTCATAAACATCAGATCTTTATCTATCTTTATCTGGGGGAACCAGTTGGAACTCTGTGCTGCTACCCGAAACTTGAGACTTTTGTCAAGCCACCAGGCTATCCCACATGACCAAAAAATACCAACATCCCCTGTACATCGGCAACAAACAAACAAAAATACAAATATCACAAACAAATAATAGCAACAAACCCCAATTTTCATGTACCAATTTTGGAACTTTGATACAACCACTATATTATCAAGAACGTCTTATTTTAGAATCTACTAATGTGGTTAAAACAATAATAAACCATCCCCAAAATCATCCAAATTCACAATTTGTATGGGTGGTTTATTGGTTTAACCACATGAATCGAATCTAATGTACCAATTTCCATCTCCACGGTCGGTGACTGGGCTGCCCCGGCAACCCAGTGGAGCCAGGGGCATGGCTGGGAGAGCCTGGATGAAATAGGGGTACCCCTCAATCCTCCATTGATTGATGGGGTTTCCAATTATAAACCATCCATTTGGGGACCCCATATGATGGTTACACCCCCATATGATGGTTATATCATTGCAACTGCTACTGGCTAGTGAAGTTGATAATTCCATTCTTATAAACGTTGATGATTATGAAAAAGTCACATCAACCAACATCAACCAGCATCAACCAACTGCTTTTTGTTGCTCCAATTGCTGTTTTTTCCCTGGGGTAAACACACCAAAAACCAAAGGGAAAATCCCATGAAAATCCCGTTGCCGGTCCATGATCTGCAAAGGTTGGGTTTTCGCAGATCGATGGTAGCTGAGCTGTCTACCCTTTTTGGGGGGATGTCAACATAAACTACAATAAAATGGCTATTAAATGGGAACAATCCACTATAAATGGCCATGTTCATCCATTTTCAACAATAAGGTTGCTATTAAAAGAAACTCTATTCATATCAGAATCAATCGTTTGAATTAATTGTCCCTCCATTCCAGTCGCATCGTCACAAAAAAAAAACTATGACCTTGTTCCAAAGCCGATCAACATTTCTCTTCACCACAGCCATCCCAAAACTCTGCCAACAAGCACCAAACCCAAACAATGTATGCGGTACATCCTCACCAAAGTACTTTTGCACAACCCTCCAAGTTCGCGTTTTACAGTTGTGCCTCATCATCTCTCCATCCCAGTTTAAACACGTCCAAATGCTAAAGTTTCGGTCAGCGGTACAATTGCCGGCTCGCCTCCCACTTGAAGGTGTTGGGATCGAAACCTGGGGCGTTCACGCTCAGCGGTGCCTTCTGAGTATCCTAAAATTATATTAGCCACCAGTACACTAACATAGCTATGGGAAAATTGCACATTTGTAGATGACTTACCTACTGGTGAGTTCTATCTCCATATTGGTTTCCCAAAGGGTACTAGTTGTCTCCATGTTTTGTCTTTGCATCCAACGGTTGGCGGCATACCCTTCTTACACCCCATGAAACAAGAATACCATTCGCCAATTTTACAAAATCTACGTATAGGGAGGTCGTCATATCTTATACCCAGATTGATGATTCTCCCACCAAAAAACATTAGTGTTCAAGAATATCCATACTGCTATTGTCATTAGATACCGTGTCTCTAAGCTATCTATCTATCTATCCATCTATTTATCTATCTATCTATCTTATCCTATCTAATCTAATCCAATTTAATCTAATCTAATCTATCTATCTATATATATATATATACGTATACATATATATATATATATATATATCCACCATTTTTTCCAGACATAACCCCATTACATCATCATAACACGGACAATGAGCTACCTCTCCCATTCGTTATAATCCTTTTTATAATTGTCATTAGTCCCATTATTTTTTTCGAACATGTACAATTTTTAAGCAGCCGTCCTGGAAGAAAGTCACAGGCTCGCTGAGGAGTTGAGTGAAAGGAATTTCTACACAGTTGATTCATTGAGAAATCCACCCTCTGTCCTCTCATCCGCTGTCCATATCAAACAAACCCATTATCCAATGGTCCCATACATATATATTCGCTACTAAAGCATGGTTCCTGGAGATGTTTGTCATAATTTGGGGGATGGAATTATGATCATACCAATATGGAAATTATGGATTAAATATGGTAATATAGTCATATACTAATAAGCCACAAAGTAATATATGAACACACATATATATATATATAGATAGAAAAGTCATATACCAAGATTGTTAGAATGGTTGCCCAAACAAATGCAAATCTGTCTCCCACAGGTAACCAGAAAAATGTGCGTAACACACACCATTTCTTGGAAATTATATAGAAAACCATACTATGTACATATATATATATATACACCATTAAAATAATACTTGATATCCAAAAATAGGGGCATGGTATACACTATCAATGGATGTCAATTGTATATACAACCTATTTATGGTGATTTGGGGGACTGTTCATTATTGTTCTACCCACAGTCATACAATTCTAGATATTACTACATGCAAAACTATTAGTAATATATTACTATATATATATTATACACCACTAGTAATATCTATTACGATCAACATCAAATTATTATCTTTAATATATCTAAATATACATTCATGATTACCACTGAAAGATTCACAAACATATTACATACTATTATTGATATTATACTAATCAGCATCTTGAATCTTAAGATCACCTTATTGTACATGAATATATATGTATACTATATTACATAATAGAACATATCCTTCTATTATCGTGATGAACATACTTATTAAAATATGATTCCACATATGAAAAAATACTTATACTATGATAAATAGGACATATTATAGTTGATGCTATACTATTTATTACTTCTTATAGAAAACTATTAGGATGTATCACTCAACTATTGATATATATTAATATATGTTAATATACCACTAGTATCCATTAGTAATATCCATAACTATTACTATGAATATTATATAATTATCTTTATACTAATTATTTATTTATTAATTATTTATTTATTATTAAACGGTGTATATTAAATGCTGTATATTCATCTTTATCTTGAGACAATATTAAATTACTATACTATTTGATACTATACCACAAGAAAACCCCAGACATCCTGCTTTGAGCCGGTGCCCAGCCACGCTCCGTGGCCAAGGCATGCGGCACGCTGCGCGACTCCGCGCGGCCGCCCAGGACGTGGAGACGGCCTAACGGAGCGGACAAGGACGGGGGTTTCAGTGACAAAACTGGAAATTTCATGGGAAAAATGAAGATTTCATGGCGTTTCCCAAGGATTTCATAGGAAATTAAAAAAATGTATGTATAATATAGAGTTATTGATATTTTATGGGAAAAATGCTGGAAGAATGGTGATTTACCAGAATTCATAGAAAAAATGAGAAATTCATATGGATTTACCAGAAAATGTCGGGACAATTAATGGTGATCAATGCCAAGAACCAAGTTGCAACATGGCCACAACAAATGCTTGGTTCTATGGTTAGTTTTCGCCTTCAGATAATGATTCCTACGGGCCCTAGAGGGGGGTCTTCAGTGAGATAGCAGCACATGACTCACATGACCACATGTTTCAAGTCTTGTTAATTGGTTCGATGGCGAGTTGGTAAGTGAAAAATTACATTCTTCGAGTGATCCCCACCCTGACACACTATTCTTACATAGTTTCTGACATACCATCTGGAAGTATGCATGGCATAAATAAATAAATATATATATATATTCTGACATTCTACCAGACATTCTGTCCTCTGGCATCATCTCTGGCATGCAGTTTACATGGGGATTTATCAGATATATTTCAGGAACATGTTGCTTTATGATGCTTTACGGTTGGTTTTCACCTTCAGGGAATGATCCCTTTTTTTGGGGGATCTTGATTTCAATTCTTGTTGCTTCGTTTGTTTTTGTTTCATGAAAAAAAGCTTCATAAAGATATTACCCATAGGATCCATGTATGGTATATATACTAACATTTGGGTGTATAATGATGGTAAATGTTAACATATATAGCATACATGGATCCTATGGGTTCTGCCCTGGTTTTTCTACGTTTTTCTATGCCCTGGGATTAGCCACGAAAATCCCGGGCCACCATCCCTTGCGGCCATTGATAAAAAGCGGTGCGCAAAAACACCCCACCTTTCACCGCCACCGCAGCACATCGTGAGCGAGGCGTCCTGGCCGGGCAGCGGGGCCAAGGACGGCCACATCTCAGAGCAAACTGGTTCAAAACATATGTTTCTGTCTATATATGTATACATATACAGTAGATAATACATAAGTGTGTGTATATATGTATATCTAAACACATCTAAGTTTCTATGTGTCTATATATATACATACACACATAATGAGAGAGAGAGAGAGAAAGAGTCAAAATCATGGACCCCTAACACTTGGGGCTGTCTTCAAATAGGGTACCACCAAATCCATTGGTTGATTAGGTTGATCATCATTTTCCTATCACATGGCTATAATGTATTATCGTATCGTTTTTTTCCTATGCGTAGCAACACTCCGGGGTCAAAAGGTACTTCACGCGACTCATCCAAGTGCAAATAACATCAAATAACAACTTGGCCGCAGGACAGCCGATCAACAGAACCCTGAGGGCACACTGCGAGATATCGTCAGGAATGAGCCAGGAATAACCACTTTGTCCCGTAGTCCAAACAAAGGAAAACAAGAGTAACAGGAGATAACAGGAGTATAGCTGAGCTTTCTTGAGAGCAACTAAGATGGCTAACTATACTTGCAGGCTAACCTTCCGAGAAACAGCAACACATATCCTTCCACATCCACGTGTGAGCCTCTGGCAAATAAAACCACATCTCAAATAAGGGGAAACATGAGAATATTGGAGTCATGAGGGAAGTGGACGATAGCCACAATGTAGCCAGAACAGATAAATTGTTGAGGTTGTCCAAGTCCGAAGGATATTCTAAGAAGTTTTCACATTTCTGCGCCTGCCTTGAACAACCAAGTGCCAGGGCCGACGAACAAACTTTGACGAGCCAAAGCTCAAGTTCACGTGTTTTGCGGGGAGGAGGACACAATTGCATAAGAAACGCGAGCACATTGACCACACAAGACTTGTATGGTTTGAGGGTTCCAATTGATGATCATTCGGTGTATACCCTATTTTCACACACACCCTTTTGGGTTCAGCACCACAAAGAAGACAGCCAGCGTCCCACGTGGTCCACAAACCACTGAGCATCTGCTGGGCTGGTCCGCTATGGTGTTAATTGAACCCTTTGGGCAGTTTCTATAGTTGCTATCATCACTAATTCATTGTTAAACTCAAGTACCTGTAACACTGTAACCCGCAATAATATACCAACAGTATGTATATATATAATATATTATATCTAATACATACATAATATTATATATATATACATATGAATATTTCTGTATGTATGAATATATAGATATATCTATAAACATAAATCTAAACTCTATAAACATATATATATATGTGTGTATTATGTATGTATCATGTGTATATATATGTATATATATTATGATATTGCAATATGGTCCCATTCAACCCCCTAAGCCATCCTCCCGGGTCCCCGGGCAACATGTTCGGCAGCCGGCTCCACTTAGATGCACTGGGATCGAAGCGTTCCGCCGAGCCCAAGGCCTCCCCAAGGAGTATAGGTAGTGATGAAGCAATGCATAAACTACATTGCAGATAAATTATAAATATATATATTATAATATGGGTTGGGTATGAAATATGTAAGTAGTGTATGTCTATGCGTATATCAATATATTTGTAGGTACATACTGCATCCAAGCATATAGTATAGGGTTATATAGGTATGCATAGGTACGCTTTGGGTATACAAAATCTATACGTAGCAACTATGTACATCTATGTAATTAGCATAAAGGCATACAAATAGTGGTAAGCCATGTGTGAGGTACGCCAGTACGTAAAGCAGGTTTTGGGTAGTATGTGCTAGATTGATATGTTAGACATATACAGCTAGATTGGGTCCAGTGACGAGGTTGTGGCTCTCAAGTGCCGCAGATAGCGTGCAAATGGGAGGCAGTCTCCCAAATGCTGTGAATAGGCAACAAATGGAAGCCGGTGCCTCCCAATGCTGCAAATATCGTGCAAATGGAAGGTTTGGGGGGTGGAGTGGGGGGAACCATACCAGTGGGGGGCATATGTATATATATACAATTAATATATACCCTAGGGTATAAACTACCGTAGATGTCGATGTGGAAAACCTATGGGGCACCCCAAGGCACATTATCTACAAATGGTTGTTATTCCACATCTATGTTAGCTTACCCAAGGGTAAGGGGTACTGAAGCAACCATTTATCAATCAACCAGTCTATATTCATACCCATTTACAAGTCAAGACTCAACTGATTATAGATTTAGGATGTGTTATATAACCAACAGTTGTCATATAGTTAATGGGTGTATCAAGTAGTTTCATGGGTGCAGTCCAGCCGCGGTAATTTCACCAGATGATTGGAATTGGAGCCATCCATTGGTGCATGATTTTGATGGATGATTAGTCTATTGATGGATATAATTACAAAATCATGGAAACATCCAGTAATCTATTGGATTCATCCAGTAATCATTATTATTGGTTATCATTGGTGCATGATAACAAAATAAAATCTATAACCCCCCAAAAACCATGTATTGAGAGTTATCAAGTATTCTTTTGTGAAGTGTGTCAGACCGTCCAATTCTTGTAGCTAAGTCTCATATATTTTGGGGCCAAAGCCTCAACACATTTGCATAGAAAGACCCTTTCAACAAGAGAACCATCAGCGTCCCAACCAGCTTTATGTTAGTAAAGCAATCATACGCCAACCATATGGATTGATAGTTTATGCATCTCATCTATGGTACCCTCTGGTAATGGCTGACAGTTTGCTATTGAAAATGGCCATTGATAGTTAATTTACCCATAAAAAATTGCAATTTTCCATAGTTACGTAAACGTTTACCAGAGGGCAAACAAATTTGAGGGGATGGTGGATCCTATTGCTTTGCCAACATGGGTTTTTGGTCGCGAACACGTCGCAGTGCCTTTTGGCCATCGTGACCACCCACCTAGAATCCACTGAGCTGAGGGTTGGGAAAATCAACAGGAAACCCTGGCTTTTTTTCACATCCTATACTGGTTGGTGGTGCAATCACCATCTTGAAAAATATGAGTTCGTCAATGGAAAAGATTATCCCATATATGAAATGGAAAATAAAAGCCATGTTCCAAACCACCAACCAGATCCAACCAGTATATCATCCAATGATAGGGTTGAAACAGTTGGTCATTGGGGCTTACTCCATTGACATCTGATCTGCTGTCCGAGCCCGAAATGATATGGTGTTCTATGAGGATTCATGCTGCCTACATGAAAGGATGATTATTCTTGGGGTTGTTGATGTTTCATGGCACATGACAGGATAGGACGCACCATGCTAGGGGGTCTTATTGGTTCGGCATTCTTTTACACACAATCCTCCAATATATGTGATCCCAAATCGTATTTTTCAAAGGACGTGATATTCCCTGAAGAAAGTGTGGCCTGACTTCGTGCACTCCCTTTGAAAGATTGTAACGTGTGTTTGAAGAGGGCGCAATAGGGGCTTTAAAATACAATTCCACAACACGCATGGGAGCATTCTACTGACAGATTTCAACATCATTTCAAATTTAGATACATCTAAATTTTCCAAATCCCATTCAAGTACATTCAAGTCTCATTAAAATCATTTACCCTCTGGTAAACGTTTACATAACTATGGAAAATTACCATTTTCTAGCCGGGTAAATCCACTATAAATGTGTGGCTCCAAATCTTCAGTTCTGAGTGTCCACACGACGTAAAGCCTGGCGACTGGCCGCGCGTCGCCAAAGAAGCCGGGGAAGATTTGGAAAAACCACCATCTGTAGATCATGATGATCATGTGCCCAGGGGAAGCATAACTTTTCCATAGGTTTTCCACATCTTTTTGTATGTTTACCATTGTTTACCCAGGGTAATACTATAATTATCACAATGGCAAGTAGAGTAATCGGCCAGCTCCGGGCAAAACCCAGAACCTATGCCGAGCGGATCCATTCTTTGGGGCACACATGTTGACACCAAGAAATGGATGGATGAATTAAACAAATTGAAACATATGATGCATATATATATATATTCAAATAGATTCTAGATCATGTTTGAATTAATAGTTGATATATGTTGATATCAAATAGATGATAACACTATGATGATGACAAGACAGTACATTCACCAGCCTTCACTTTCCTGAGCGCTTCTCCCCATCCGAAAAGGCCATCCATATGTGCCATGGTCCCCTTCTGAATCCAAATTAAAATCGCATTCAGGTAGGATGACTATTATAATTATCATATAGTTGGCTATACTATGTATATATATAATTATGTATATAGTTGAGATATACTTTGTTGAGATATACTATGTATATATATATATGAGTGTATATGTAGTAGTCCCACACAAGATAAAGCAAACGTAAATCAGCATCAAATTCGCAGGGACTTATTTGTTTTTTTGGATACACTATTCATGTATGTTGAGTACATATACAGGTACATCCCATGATATTCCCCATTTGTCTTATGCCCATTGCATTTACCACTAGATTCCTATGATTATATCGCATCATAGTATATATCACGTATCATATATATATGTTAACCTTATGTACATTATAAAATTATATAATCTACATGTGATATCCCATTACAACGCATTCCCATGGCTGCGCCAAACATGCCAGTGTCTCAAATTTCCCAGCGTGCAAGCGGCACAGCCATAACGTTTCACCGTCATGGGCGGCATGACTTGCCACTGCGCGGTTGGATTTTTTGATGGCGGCTTTGTGGCGCTCAAAATGGGCAGAGAAATGTGGATTTTTCTATAGAAATATATAGAAATACGGTGGATGGAAGAAATCCTGCACCAGTTGATGTGGTTTATGCCAGTATTTATAGGGTTTCAACCATCCAAGGTGATGCAGGATTTCTTCCATCCACAGCATGGTGATTTGATGACATGTAATGGGATATTCATGGATTACTCCATAAACTAATGGGATGGATAATCAACTCTCTCTCTCTCTCTTTCAGGACATGAATGTGAATGAGATGTCAATGGGGATTAATGATGTTCATGGAGATGCATGTTTGAGTTCATCCATGTTCAATGATTTAATAGGATATTAATGGAGATTATTGAGAGTGAGATTATACATCATTCATACAGGAGGATTTTGGGATTGTTTAATTGTCATGAATCTTTGAGTCTGTCAGGAAAATGGTGATTCAACAGGAAAATTTCATGGAGACATTTCTTGGGATAAATAATCAGTGGTACTACACATGTTTGGGAAAATAATTGACAAGTATCAGTGAACAGTGAGTTAAGGATGTATGTATGTCTGTCTGTCTGTATGTATGTACGTACGTATGTATGTATGTATGTATGTGTGTGTGTATGTGTGTGTGTATGTATGTAATGTAATGTAATATAATGTAATGTAATGTAATGTAAGTAATGTAATGTAATGTAACGTAACGTAATGTAATGTAATGTGATGTAATGCGTGTAATGTATGTTTGGTACAGTAGATGGACAAAATATTCAAACCCTGCAGCACGCACTATATATGTTGAACCCCCGCACCCCTAAATCTCAATGTTTCAGCGCGCGTGTTAGCAAAAGTGATGTTAGGGGTTTGATTTTTTTCGTCCATTGGGGCTAACGCACTTCAGGTTACAATAACATTGAACTTTGGGGGCGAGGGGGTTGTACCGGATAGAAGGGGTTTGAATATTTCGTCCATCTACGGTACCCACTGGGGTGTGCGGCATGCCGCACACCCCAGTTGGTACCGTCTCGCTCTCTGATGTTTTCACATCTTTTGGCCTCCAAACTCTGTTGCGGAAACATCAATGTGCATGCTGCTGATCTCATTCCAAACTGCGCAAAACATTGGCTTTTCACAAGTAAATGCCTCCTGTCTGTCTCCCGTCCCATTTTTTCTATTCCCTAATTCGCAACTTATTCCTAAGTGCACAAAACATTGTGTTTTCACAGGTAAGTGCAACCCTTGTGCTTCCCGTCCCATTTTTTCCTATTCCCTAATTCGCAACTTATTCCAAACTGCAAAAACCATTGTGTTTTCACAGGTAAATGCTGCATGTGTATCTCGTCCCATTTTTTCCTATTCCCTAATTCGCAACTTATTCTAAACTGCAAAAACCATTGTGTTTTCACAGGTAAATGCTGCATGTGTATCTCGTCCCATTTTTTCCTATTCAAATAGGTCCTATTCCCTAATTCACAACTTTTTCCAACATGCGCAAAACATTGTGTTTTCACAGGTAGATGTGCATGTCTTTCTCGTCCCATTTTTCCCTATTCCCTAATTCACGACTTTTTCCAACATGCGCAAAACATTGAACAGCATGAGACAGCTCCTAATTAAAAAAGGAAATATTTTCTCTTAAAAAGCAGCAGCACGTCACAAATGACATAATCCATTGGCAGGGCCACGTCACACGAATAAGTCGTGTTTTGCGCAGTTTGGAAGAAGATCAGCAGCAGATGTTTCCACAACAGAGTTTGGAGACCAAAAGATGTGAAGACATCAGAGAGCGAGACAGTATGTATGGTAGTATGTATGGTAGTATGTATGGTAGTATGTATGGTAGTATGTATGGTAGTATGTATGGTAGTATGTATGGTAGTATGTATGGTAGTATGTATGGTAGTATGTAAGGTAGTATGTATGGTAGTGTGTATGGTAGTGTGTATGGTAGTATGGTTGTATGTATGTATGTAATGTAATGTAATGTAATGTAATGCAATGTAATGTAATGTAATGTATGTATGCATGCATGCAATTCATATGATATCATCAAGACAAGCGGAATTTGTTTCACAGTGATTTAAAATTCTGAGTCATGAGTCTAAAATGATTCTGACCTTAATGGATAATTTAACCAGCAAGACTTGGAAGCACTTTCTTGTGCTCTGAAGATCTCCAAAGGGAATGAGTCCCCTGTGGTGAAATGTGTTTTTCTTTATCTAAAGGGGAATCAATGGGATATTTGAAATATTTATATACAAATGGGACATGGTGATGAACATCCATCTAAAATATTCTAAAATGGTGATTGCTCATGGAATATTAATCGATATACCTTCCAATCAACGACCACATGCCTACGGAAGCCAGTGACCTACGAAACATGATGCTTTCCAGCTCGCAAACTCTGAGTTTACCAGAGGGTTTGTTCGAAAAGGTGACGGGTCAAGATTGTCAAAACCAAACGGTACCCAAAAGGTACCGTAAAATACCTGGCTAATGGATTACTAAGGGATGTTTATTCCCCCAAATATGGTAACAATATATAGGTGACTTGACACATCCCAAAAAAACAAAAAACCCAAGAGTTGAAGTTAGCTAAATGTGGGTTGAAATACTCTGCAGGTTGGTATGGAACATCATTTTATGTCAACCCGTTAGGGTTAGATAAACATACTATCGTTTGATCTCAGGTCTATTCGCTTATCACTTCTGATCCATCTCTATCTTACTATCCAATTACATCCATTTATTAAGTTCAGGGCAACATTCCAAGACTTGCCGACTTGGAGTTCTTGGCCCTTCGATTGCGGCAGCATGTCCCTGCCCTCAACACATTCTTCGGCAAGGCCTCCATGGCTGCTTCTACAATGGATGCGTGCGATGGATGGCACCACTACTCCGGATCGCAAATTCGACTTGAAGCTGACATTCACAGTTCCGGCAATGCCGTTTTTGGGTGTACTCCTTGTCTAAGATGGACACAATATTTGTGTGCTTCTCAGTCATCCTCCATTCGTCATTGGCGGTACACACGCAAATCACAAATTTTGGGACAGAAATGCTCATCAGTAGAAGGAGCAGATCACAAAACACCAGTTGAGATTGACAAATTGCTCTGGTAAAATATGTTTTTCAACACTGCTTGGTAAAGGTACTTGCTCCAAACTCTGGTTGAAATTCTGCTCTCAAAGCAAACTTTGAAGGCTGTTGGACAAATTCCCCCACTGTCCCATTTCAATGTCAATCCCGGATTCATAAACCCTTAGGCTATTCAATTGGGGAGTACCATCTAAGTAACAAATCATCATTCTTTGGAGGCCCCGGTAACCCCTGAATTTCCCAGCCAGGGTCCATTCATCGACACAAGCTAGCACTGCCCCTAGCCTCTCCACGCAGCGGGCTAAAGCACTCCACGTTGCACAAGGCCGCTGAAGAATCATTCTTACCTCAGCACTGCCAGAGTGAAACCTCGCACCATGAGTGACCGTTTTAGTCATACAAATTACCCCTATTCTGACCATCGGTGTTGCTTGGTTGATGGCTATGCCGCTCATTTCAAAAAAGCAAAGCAGCAAGCGTTATATGTGGTTCGTACTAGTTCCATAAATATCCCTATACTTCCTAATAAACCCATCAGCAGATATCAGCAGGGGTATAATCCAAACCATCTCTATGAAAGCCCGGGATACCTTTGACCATCTGCAGGGAGGTGATAGGCCAAAAATCCAAAAAACATCAGCTCCCAAGATGATCGGGTTTCATTCGGGGCTAAACAGTGTCATGACATTGATATGCAATAGATATGATTGCAATATACATAGTAACCTATACATAGTTACACTCACACACATGGAAAAAATAAATAGATATACATGTGTATATATATATGTATATTATACAATCTGTATTGTATATGTATAGATGCATCTGTGCATACTCGTATATACAAGTATGTACACTAATTATGAGATACAGGATCTATCCGATAAATTGTGGGCCAATTTCATGTCGTTTTGACTGTTTGTCTGGGCCCCCACCACCCAGCACATAGATGTCAGGAGGCATCCTGCAAAAATGTCGGCTGATCACCAGTTCTCCCTGTAGTTTCATGGGGAAATCAATGGGGGCGTCCCAGTCCCAACAGAAATGAATGTAGGAAATTTTGATTACATTTATTTGGAATAGTGAAACAAACAAAAGGACGTTGATTACAAGATATTGGAGGATCATAATCATACCACTTTTTACTTGTATACTATGTTAAAATGATATATTTCAACAAAAATAGGGACATCACATGTACAAATCGGGGATTTACTAGAACCAGGGATGATTAGTAATTAAATGGATTGTGTTTGTGGACTTTAGTTCACCCAGTTATAAATGGGATAACCTTACAATCACCACGGTGCTGAACCAATTACTATGATCAACACCTGGATAGAATGGGGGTCTTGCAATGAGAAGGTATGGGAACTAAATGGTTATTTTCCAGCAGGGGAGGCTTAATTGCTGAAAGGTAGATATGCTTCAAGTCTAAAACAAATTGCTGGTAATGTTCCCCATGTTTGGACAAAAACACATATCACATGCTTGCTTTGGACATATATATCATATATATATGTATATATATATATACACATGTATACATGCATGTATATATATATACACATATTTATGTGTATATATATATGTGTGTATGTGCATGTGTGTATATATATATATATGTATGTATATAATTGTATATATATATATATGGTGATATATATAATTATATATATATATATGTTTGTATATAGGTCTATATATGTATGTATGTATGTATGTATGTATGTATGTATGTATGTACGTATGTACGTATGTACGTATGTACGTATGTACGTATGTACGTATGTACGTATGTACGTATGTACGTATGTACGTACGTACGTACGTATGTACGTACGTACGTATGTATGTATGTATGTATGTATGTATGTATGTATGTGTGTATGTATATGTATATGTATATGTATATGTATATGTATATATATATATATGTGAAATTTATATATGTGTATATGACATGTGTATGTATATATATATATATGTATATTATAATTCCATAGAAATTATTGGTAACGGTAAAGAAAACGAATCTAACCTTCATTATTTCAGGAATATGGAGGTTTCCTGAAATGGGGGTACCCCTAAATCATCCATTTTAGTAGGATTTTCCATTATACACCATCCATTTTGGGGTACCTCCACTTTCAGGAAACCCTCATAGGAATCCTGACGCCATAGCTGCGACATTTCGGGCTGCCCAGTTCCGCCTTTTCTTCAGCAGCTTGAGGCATTTGCACAAGCCGTCGCTCAAGCTTTGCCTCACCGAACAGATACGAACGACAAATTGGTTCGATGATGTTAGGTGTAGAAAACCATTAATGATGTTCGATGAGGCTAGATGTATGTTAGATGTAGAAACTATTCAATTAATGTTAGAAACCTAAAAGTTGGCAACTACTGCTAACATCAATGTATAGTACTGTTAACAATACTATATGTGGTGGAGATTGACATCAATTGAAAGATGTACTGCAGATGTTTGGTTTGGCATTTTGCCTTGGGATCTGCCCAAAATCATATACCAAATCCTCCTTGAACACACAAATTGCAGGCAAAACTCCACCAACCCAAGAAACATGGGTTGTTTGTACAGTCAAACTCTCCCATGATGAATGATGATAATCCATATTCGATTTTGGATAGTATATATTTAACTCCAAATCAGAAAAACAGGAGTTTTGAACTGTTTGCTTGTTAACTAGGTTTGTCTGAAAATACGGTACCTCAAATCCGATGGTTGATCATCATTTTCAGTATTAAAAAACTATTGTGGGGATGTTCTCAATTTTGAGACAGACCTAATAGTGGTTTGAGCAACAATAATATCGGAAATGGATGCTTATCCCCAATTATATTCCCATTACACCACATATCTATGTACAATAATGTATACACGTATGTATACACGTATATATATATATTATATAATTTCATATTATATGTATCTTATATATGTATAGAGCCCCCCCCCCCAAAAAAAAATATCGGCATGTTAGTGGGATCTTGATGTTCTATCTTCTTGGGGGTAAGACATCGTTTTGACAGGTACTTGGAGCGTCTAGAGTCGTGTTTTGATTATTCCCGATAATACCTGTATATATATATATACGTACATATCATATCACGCATGGCATTATATCACAATCATATTCCAGTACATCAATATCATATTCCACACACATATATATATACTTCCCAATTCCAGTGGATTATCATGATTTTCTCATCATTTTCTCTATAAAAAAATTGCAATTTTCCAGTGGGTATCCCGGGCAAACCCGAGAATCTCACAGGCCCCGGACGCAGTTTCGCGCAGGTGCATGGAGCCGATGACCTTGGAATTCACGGCCGTTCCATGCCGTTCCTATGAGAAAACCATGGGGCCGTTAAGGGGATTCCATCGGGATTTCATATCCTCGTAAATGGTGATTTTTCACAAAGGGATTGAGCAAAAATGGTGAATTTAATGAATCAAACACATCAAACAGCGATTATAGACCATGGTAAATGGCGACCCAATAGGGATGTCCTGCATGTGTATATATATATATATTATTCATATACATATAATGGGGGATTCAATGGACATAGAAATGCCGTTTTAGTAATTGAGAGAAAGTGAGATTGTACAGATATAAAGTCATTAGAGCAAGTAATGATAGCGGGGGGTCTAGTCATATTATGACTTAAGCAATGTCAGGTACAATGACACTGAGAATAACGTATGACAATAGTAACGAGGATAATCATTATAATATATGATGATAACGATGATATTGTTGGTGGGGCCAGCTTTGGGGCCGCCAGGGGTTGGCGTTCTTTTTTTAGCTAGTGAAACACGTGCTACCATTTATGGCTCGACTTTCGCATGAACTCGAAGGTCCATAGTGTCACTGTCCAAGTGTAGGTGGGATTGGTGGGAACCAACAGATGTTCTCAACAGGCAAACCAGCCAAAATCAAGGCATCTAATCAACTATCGTGCTGGTCAAAATGAATTGGTTTGTAAATCTCTCAAATGGCAACATACTATACACTTGGGTCCATGTTCAACCAAGGCTGGGACTTACGACTTTAGTTTCTATTCACTTGAATATTCTAAGGTATTCTAAGTGTGCCCTAAATATTCCAGATTTTCCGACCAGATCGGCTTGCCAAGGGACGCCCATGACGCAGCCCAGGGACAAAGCCAAACCTGGCTCCTGCAAATCCAACTGGGTCTGGGGAACTCCTGCAATTTATGGCAACTTATGGCAATGTTTGGCAATTTATAAAACAATTTATGGTTATAAATCAATTTATGGCAATTTAATCTTTGAACCCATCAAATCCTTGCAATTTTAGGCAAACTCTACTGGGGATATATGTATTATCGTGGATTTATGTGGGGTATATAATTATCACAATTTGCAAATATAGCTGTTTGGTGGTATAGAATCAACACAAAACTCGGTTGTTGGATCTTAACTTTCTTCAGTTTTGTTTGGTTTTTTTCTCAATCTCTACCCAAAATAGCTAGCAAACGAAAATCCTGATAGACCACTGATAGATGGAGTCCTCCAGTTCAATTATTCTATACCATGAGAACTCATTTTTGTTAACTTACCACGTTGAAAAGTTCGGCAGCTTGAAGACATCTACATAAGACAAGTAATTGTAAGACCAATGCCTTGTTAACAAATCAAAAGATATAGTTACAAACTATCAATATTGCAATGATTCTGTATAATATTGTTCCCATAATGTAGTTACTGACAGTTGTAATGGTTTTATAAACTATCAAAAGTAAGTACAACAGTAGTGACATGTATTAAATACACATATATATATATATATCATGAGATCGTGAGATACATAGCTATAAACAAATATCTACCCATAGTGTAGTTACTGTTGTAGCTATATCCCATTCATATTCCATTACTGCCATGTGACCAGGCCTCGAGCAGCCGCTTCAAGACGCGGGGCGCCCGTCTCCTGGTTTCGGGACGTTTTTGGTGTGCGAGATTTGGGGATTTCAGGGCTTGAAGGGTCACCGAACCTTGGGATTTCACCATGGAAAAAAACCTGAAAATCCACGGAATCTGGGATGCATGGACCAACCATAGGATCGATTAGTAATCGGATTGTGATGGATTCTGGCGCTAGCATGAAACAGAAAAACCACCTTGCAAACCTTGGGATATCCGTGGGAAATCCACCCAGTTAGTTCGATATTTTGGATTTTATAGCTGGCCATGCTTGACACCAGGGGGTATTCGTTGATGTATGATAGCAAGGCAAAACCTGGCATTTGTAGACTATTTACCTGCATCAAAATGGCCACACATAGATTCATTACACAATCAGTATTCTATATCCAATCACTGTGCTACCAAGTTTTGAATGATGGTTAATAATAACAGTTAATACAAACGATTTTGTTGAAACCTTTCATTCTCAAATCACACGCCACATGTTTAAGCCATTAAGGTCCTCCGTAAAAATGGGCCAACCTTCATCCATTCACCAAGGTTTTCCCAATAGACATGGACATAGGATGTCACATCCACCACATTTAGATTGACCCATCAACCCACTCACCGTTCACCTATAATGCATCGTCTCAACCCTGCAAAGACTGCACGCTTCCAAAACTCATCAAACACAGCGATCATATATATATATATATGTACATATATATGTAAATATGTATATATATGTAAATATGTATATATATATATATGTAAATATGTATATATACATATACATATATACATATGTATATGTATATGTATATATATATATATGTATATATATGTATACATATATACATATATATATGTATGTGCATGTATATATGTAATAGTTATATATAGATGTATGTATATCTATATATATATATGTATATGTGTACATATATATACATGTATGTATATATATATATGTGTACATATATATATACATATGTAAATACATATATGTGTATATATATATATATATATGTAAATATATGTATATATATAAATATATATATATATATGTATAGATATATATGTTTAGATATATGTGCAAAAATGTAAATAAATATATATATATATGGATATATATATATATGTATATGTACGTATGTATGTATATATGTGTATATGTGTATATATATATATATGTATATATATATAAATGTACAACTGTAAAAATGTATGTATATAAGTATATATGCGTATATATATATATACGTATATGTAAATGTATATGTATGTATACATGATTGTATAATTATATAGGTATATTCATGCTGTATTCCAATTTATAAACTGGGCTGATTATATCACCCTGGACGATGCAGTTCGTCAACTCTTTGTAATCAGGTTGCAAACCGCTATATACTGTATTCAGTTGATCCCCTTTGTTTGGTACTGAAACACACTTACAATCACCACTTGACTATCCAACCATGGACCATCTAAGAAAGTATTGTGTATAATTAATTGTGCATACATGTATTAGCCTATCTGACATAATCACTGATTATATTACCGAACTACTGATGATATTCTCCAATATTGGCCTCAGTAATGAAACAATATATATATATATATCTGGATACAGTGTAATATCATCAATAGTCCAGTAACTTTCCGTAACATGACATTCATATATATATTTATTATATATATACCACTTCACAATATCTGATTATATCTCCAACTATATCCGCATCAATATCAAAACTTTGGTTTAAAATTAATATTAGAATATATATATATATTATATTATATTACCCCTGTTTTTTAAACGTAGCTATGGAGACCGCCATTGTTGATAGGTAAACTATCAAAAATCACCTATACATTTATACATGTGTCAATTTCCATGGCTATGTAAAATAACCAGAGGGTAATTTTCATATCCACATTCATATCCACATTCATACTACACTCTTATTCATTGTATCGGGTACATACATCATATTGATTCATTGGAGTTTCTTATGCTATAAATATCATTGTAACCACCATATTATATCGCTTGATATAATAAAAAATATTCCTTAATATTCCGTTAAAAAGTATTCTATGAATGTTCCTTTAATGTATCAATATATCCCTTTTCTACCGCCAATCCATCTCATCTTAAAAGCTGGTTATAAATTCACCCTAGCTGGGAAAAATATAAACATATATGCGTATATATATATTATATATATGTATGTGTGGAGGTTTCCAAAGTCATGGAGGTATCCCCAGATCATCCATTTATAGATGGGATTTTCCATGAAGTAAACCATTTTAATAGGATTGGCCATGAAATAAACCATCCAGCTAATGGGGCAGCCCCATTTTAGGAAACCCTCATATGCAATACGTATTAATTACTACTCATAGTAATGATCGTAATGAGGTTAGTAATAATGATAGTTGTAAAACAAATATGATAGTCCGTGTAACACTAATAATTATAGTGACCCCCATATATGCATGATATCCACATGAATCAATGAATCTCCCGATGAAAGCCCCTGTTTTCAACCGACGCTCGGCGGCTCCTGCTCAGATGGAGCTCCAACTCCGCCTTCCGCAACACCCTGGCCTCGGCAGACCGGGGAATCATGGAGAAAATGTGTGGATAGCCTGGATAGCCCCAAAAAAAAAGAACGATTTAGGGGTATCCCCATGTGTGGAAAGCCTCATATGTGTTTCTGGATACATAGATTTGATATGTGAAGAAATGATGTAAAAGAAATAAATGAACATGGAATCGAACATGAAATGAAACTGAAGAGGTGGATCTTGCTGAACCTTTCGCCTGGTATTAATTGTGTAACGGCATGGTAGATGGAAGGATGTCAAAACATGTATTTGTTTGGTTTACATGTTTTTTCTTGATGTTTTTGGGTTCCATGCACTTTCCGGTTGGCCATCTGGAAAAGCCAATGCCATAAAGCTCCAATATTGGAGGCTTTATGCCAGCTAAAGGTGAAATTGGAGATGGACATACTTTTTTCATGATTGGCGTGGCCTCATTGATACCACATATATCATATAGTCGTTTTATCATGTTTTATCACAGTCACTATCCATATGAAAAGTCCACAATGTTTCCACAATGTTTCCATGGTGCATTCCCCATTTTCATCCATGGTTACATCAGTTACCTCCCCATCCATGGTGAACGTCCCGGGGTTCAACCAGGACCTTACAGGGCTCACCTGGGTGAGGCAATCGCGCACGGCGCTGTACTCGTCCCGGAGCTCATGGAAGTCCTTCCAATCCATGGGGGACCCCCAGGTCATCTATATTTTAAGAGGATTTTCCATTAACCATCAATTTTGGGGCGCCACCATTTTAGGAAACCACCATATGGAAGTATATACAGCATACTAGTAAACTTCGACTTTCCTAGTGATATTTTACGAAGAACTAGTGGGAAACTTTGACTTTTTACGTGCTAGTGGTAAATTTCTAATGACTGTTCGATTGGTATTTTAAGTAGAACTGAGATGTTAACTTTACCAGTAGGTATTTGATTACGACTACGCAATATAAAAATCAGGCGTCTCTCTTAACATATTTTGACTGATAACAATTGATAAAGATCGGATTTATGCACAAACATTGGATTTCAACTGTCGACCAATTTAAGGATGGTGTGTTTGATCAACCAGGATTGGACTTTCAGACATTTTAAGCAACAAACACAGGATGTTCATCCTGTCAGTCACTGACTTTATCGGGGGCAAAACAACCATGGAAACAGGAAATGATCCTCCTCTGACAAAAAGGTACAAAAAGACTCTCTAAAAGGCAGGGTCTCCACCTCCATAGTTGTTTCACAGAGTGTGTAAACAATCTACTCGCAGGTTTGCTTTCAAGACCCCAAACACGTGACAGTAACAGGGAATATCAATGGTCCCAAACAGGGCTACTACAGTAATCCTTCTTGGTCCCCAGGTCCGCATTAGCTTTCGCCTCCGGGCAGCCATGCGAAGGCGATTTGTGCAAGCCAAGCTGAGCATCCTGCTTGTGCTGGCAGAGGCGGGTCAGTGCTGCTTTGAAGCCACTCATGCCCTGCTGCTCCGGCTGAATCAGCCCGGTTGCAGACAACAAGATTTCAACATCAGGTCAGAGCCACAGGGTGCCAATGTAGTCGTCCAGCTTTAGGTCCCTGCGCCACCCTTCTGGGACCCGAAACTTCGTCTCTGCCTGCGACTGCTGTGACGAACGGCTGACTTCTTCCAGGTCCCTGATAGTGTAGCGGACTGCTGCGACGAACGGCTGACTTCTTCCAGGTCCCTGATAGTGTAGCCGTCTGTTGGTTCAATCCTACGTTCATCATTCACAATCCCTTGTTTCTGTGTTAAACCAGTTTTGTTTATACTCAAAGTTTGTGTTTTCGACCCAGATTTATGATTGTCAATCCCAGTTTTCTTTTATCAAACCCATCCATGGCCCATGCTGTTGGTGAAGAGGCAGTTTTCTTGACTAAAAACTTTGTCAAATGATTGTTGATAGTAGTACTGCGTGTGAATGCCCCCCATTCTTCATGCTAAGGGATTTGGATAATTACATTATAATAACCTCAATGAAATAGTGAATTGCTATATTTGCTACTGTTTTCGTGGATGTTTACTTTTCTATCGTTTTGGCGGTTGCTACATATGGAGGTTTCCAAAGTCACGAGGGTACCCGAAATCGTCTGAAATTAATTAGACCTTGACTTGGTATTGAAACAACCATGATGGTGACTTGGGGATCCCCCATGACCTAAGAAACCATATGTTATCCTAACTATATGCCATATCCATTAAATCCATTTAAATACCCATGGTTGATGCTTAAATCCCCAAAAATGCAATTCAAACATCCCTCATCTCGACTGGTTTTCAACGTCCTGTCCGACTGGTCCCAAGTCCTTCAGAAGCTGCCGATGTTCTCGGCGTAGGTCTTGTAGCTGTCCATTGCGCTGGCGCACTTCCTGTGGAGGCGCAACGCAGGGGATGTTCACCAGCTGCAAGTGGGGGATGCCCTTGTGTAATCAAACATGGCCGGCTGTAAAATTCCGAGGGATACTGATGCAATGCTTGAACAAACTGAGAAAGTTCCTTTAAATGATCATTGAACCAACTAAAGCTGAGAACGTCAGCAAACTAAACAGAGACTCGACCCAACCAAAATGAAATTCAAACAGCAAATGCGGTTTAGTATACTCAGGAGACGTATAGGTATTGAATTTCCAAAGAATGACAGAACATGATAACGTGGTAAACCCAATAATAGACCATCCTCAAAAGCACCATCTAAATAAACAAATGGTGGTACAAACCATCCCCAAATGCTAGGTTTATGGCAAGGGCTTTCGCACATTACTACACATTCACTTGCCAAGACCCTCCAAATACTGGTTAAAGTACATGTTGATTATGGGGTAAAACACCATCCTGATGGGTACAAACGGTACCTAACTACTACCTATATAACAAAGATAGATGATAGATAAGATATGATAAGATAGTACTATACCATGTGGTATCCCAAATGTAATATAGATACATATATATATATATACAAATGTCCATATATAGATTAAATAAATGGGTATGGGTCAGAAGTGGGTATCCCAATAATTAGATAGTTAATACTAAACAAATACATTCCAATCTGTGGTCCCAGGGGGCTTAATTTTTGACCCATACCCGTTTACATATATAAATTCAATGTATAGTGACTAAAATATCGTATAGATTCAATATAGATATTAATAAATAATATCAATTTTAATGTTGAGCAATATCTATCAATAGATAGTACGATATACAGGAATATGTAAATAGCATATTTAACCCATGTTATCATCTAGTGCAAATGGGATTACCATCTAGTACTATATTCCATTTTTATTTCGACATTGTTTGCTTGAATATCCCATGAAAAAAAACATGGAAACCCAGGAAAAATAATATGGACATAACACAGAAATAATATGAACATACATGTATATATAATTAAATATATATATATATATATTCGATTAAATATCAGTCAATATCCATCAATATCCTATTCATATTTTTAAACAACACCAGGAACCCACCCCCCGTGCAATCCTTAACCCCCGATCCTGCGATAGGAGATCGTGTCGTCGCTCCAGCAGCTGCTGCTGCTCCAGGACGCTGCGAAGACTCTGGCCGTGCTCTTCCAGCAAAGCCTGCTGCCAGGTGCGGTCCCACCAGGGGCGCCTTTAAAAGATCGTTTTGGGGTCACAAAATCTCACGAAAATCAAGAAAAACAAGGATAAAAATGAATGTTTACGATCAACTCATCAACTCAATAGGGATATCAGTAGGGATACACTGGATATAATGAGAAAACCAATAGGATATTTATACGACCGATAGGGATATGATGAGGTATCAGTAGGGATATAATGGGAGAACCAGTTATATTTAAAAGAAAAATGAAACATTGGATGTGAACGATCAACAACCGGGACGCCATCCACAAAAAACATTGGGGAACGTGGAGGAGATCTTTTTCTTTTTTAACTTATGCAGTTTATAATATCTTATAACCACAGGAAATTTAGAAGTCTAAACTCTGTATAACGAATTTCAATATGTGGAAATCAAAAACAATCAAATCAAAAAACAACAATAAATAATCACAACAATAAAACATCACAGCAAAAAAATCACAACAATAAATCATCACAAGAATGAAAAATCACAACAATTAATCACAACCGTAAAGAATCACAACAATAAAGCATCACACCAGTAAACAAACACAACAATGAATAATTACAACAATAAACAATCACAAAGGTCAAGCATCACAACAAAACATAATCACAACAATTAAAAAACACAACCACAAATAGTCACAACAGTAAAAAGTCACAACAGTAAATAATCACAACAATAGACAATCACAACCATAAATAATCACGTCAATAAATAATCACAACGATGTGGAGAGATTAGAGATTAGAGATGGAGACAGTCAGTAGAGATGGAGAGAGTAGGGAAGAAGAAAGATTAGAGATGGAAAGAGTAACTGAGTAACTAGAGATGTGGAGAGATTACGCGGTGGTCGACGCAGTTGTAGCGTGATTTGCGAGGCAGTCATTGCAGAGCTGCTGTGTCAAGGTGATGTTTGGATTGTAGAAATCGCACGGCGCCCTGTGTTTTCTCGCGCAAAGTGGCTCCCGGCGTCGATGTGGGGAACCTCATCTGTGCGATGACGGGTGCGGCTGGGGCTCGTTTGGCGCTCGAGTGTTTGCCAATGTCAGCGCTGTGCGGAAGTGATCTTTGAAAGGTTGCTTGCGCTGTGCCATGGTGTTTGGTGATCCAGGCTTCCATGTTGCATTGGAATTGCTGCTTCCAAGGTTTTGGCAGGTGATGGGGAAGTACTTTGCGCAAGCTTTGTAGTACGAAGTAGTACTGGGAAGTACTTTGTTAAGCTTTGTAGTCCGAAGTATATAGTACTGGGAAGTATTCTGTGCAGTACGAAGTAGTACTGGCAAGTACTTTGTGCAGGCTTTGTAGTACGAAGTAGTGCCGGGAAGTGCTTTGTGCAAACTTTGTAGTACGAAGTAGTATTGGGAAGTACTTTGTGCAAGCTTTGTAGTACAGAGTAGTACTGGGAAGTACTTTGTGCAAGCTGCGTAGTACAAAGTAGCACTGGGAAGTCTTTTGTGCAAGCTTTGTAGTACGAAGTAGCACTGGGAGGTACTTTGCGCAAGCTTTGTAGTAAGAAGTTGTACTTGGAAGTACAGTGTGCAAGGTTTGTACTGGGAAGTTATACTCTCTGCAAGCTTTGTAGTACGAAGAACTACTTGGAAGTACTTTTGTGCAAGCTTTGTAGTACGAAGTAGTACTTGGAACACACACACACACACACGCGCGCACACAACCAAACACAACACGATGATTAAACAATAACAAGATGTCTGAACTCCGTCACACAGACGATAGAGAGGTGAAGAATGTGTGGAGATGGCTAGAGAGTAGAGATGTGAAGAGAAAAGATGTTAAGAAAGTAGGGATGTCAAGACAGTAGAGATGTGATGAGTAGATAGTTGAAGAGAGTTGGGAAGTAAAGAGAGTAGGAACTGAAGAGAGTAGGAAACAGCAGGGAAACAGCAGTGAAGAGAGTAGGGAAAGAAAATTGTCAGGAGAGCAGAGTGTGTCAGCTCCCAACCTCCTGAGCTGTCAGCAAGAAACAGGCTGGCAAGATTCAGAGATGACAAGCGCAAACCGGATGGAGAGAAAGTGCCATCATCAGAAGAGGAAGTTGAAACAGAAATGTCAGGGAGAAAAAGACGTCCAGACAAGCAGCAAGCACGAAACTCTGTCAAGATTCAAAGATGACAAGCGCAAGCCCAAGACACAGCGGCAGCATCAAACAAAGATGTCGAGAATTCAGAAATGTCAAGGACAAAGACTTCCAAGAGATCACGCAGTCGGCCGTGCCAGCCAGGTGGTCAGGCTTCCTTCCTATAGGCTCTCCTTTGTCTTTATAGGTTCTTCCCTCTATCGAAACTTCCGTCACCCGGCTTGCCCGGGCTCTACTTGTATAACTACACATAACCATGGCTCCAAAAAGAGGTATGGATCGCTACGTGGTGATCCAGACGTATGGAACGAAGGAATTACACACATGATCTCAAATGAATTCTATCCAAAAGGGCATGAATCGGGGGTATGGATCGCCTGTGCGTCCGGCTATAGATCGGGACCTTACATTTTGAGCTATAGATTTTGTAAGTGGAATGTTCACACCAGTTGTGTATGGCTGGTGGCTATTATAGCTATTATCCAGTTACTACTGTTACTACTTAGGATGGGCCCCCTTGAAGTGCCCGGTGATGTCAAATGCATGACCAAAACATGCAACAAATACATACAACTTCGGTGATTCGGCAAGATTCAGGCCATCCAAATTCGGAGATTCCTCGGTCAAAAACGGTGAATCCCTAAAAATATATGTATATAAATATAATTACTATATACAGAGAAAAACATGGTGAATCCACGAAACTATGTACACAAGTGTACATATATGTGTATGTATATATATATATATACAGTATCTATATTTAAATGGTTACACAATTGTACATATCTACATATATATATATATTTACTTGCATATATATATATATATATATATATATACGTATATTTATATATAGGTATTTATATATATACGTATATTTAGACACAATTATAAAACAGGGAAATTCCCCATGGGTAGATGTCGAATAGCCACGGATAAATGTGCCAAAGCCTCGACAAAACAACTCCTTCTGGTTTTCCTGGCCTCGACACTGCTTCTGGTGCACATCTTTGGTGCCACCGAAAAATATGTTTTTTTTGTTTGCGGCCAAAAATGGAAGGAACCTGGCACTGGATGACTGGATGATGACTGGATGCCCCATGTGAATGGTCTGTTTTTGTACATCAACATCCTGCACATTTGTGAGCTTCGTCGAGCTTGATTGATGCTATGATGCCATGATCTCCACATTTTGACGTTGGAAGTCTGTCAAGCTGTATCTTTTGGCCATTGTCTTCAAGTTGCTATTCAGTCAGGCTTGCTGAATGCTTTTGCCGTGCTTTTGACATCAAGGTTGTCTGGCTCAAAAAAATGACACTGCGCACACAGGAGGCAAGTTCACAGCCAGGTACTGAGATGTGAGACCCTCAACCAAAGAATTTCCAATGCCTCAAGGGTTGATGTTGAACTTCACTTTGTCCACACAATTACAAGAATCATGTAGCACAGGGCCAAGCATACGATGTGTGTCTTGGCAGACTGATACTTTGATGTTCTTCGAAAGACCATGGTGACAATTGTGACTATACTTTTTTCTTCAAGCAACCCAGATAAACAAGCGAAATGTTACAGCACATGCATGTATTCCTATAAACCTCAATTTGCAAAGTGGGTAGTGATCAAATCAAACTTTATGCATCTTTATGCATCTTTATGCATCTTTGTACTGTACTGTCCATTGAGTCTAGGCTTTTCCAGCTATGTTACAACAAGCCAAACTGGCCCTTGCGGGATCCTGATGTTCAAAGCCCACCCTCATGTTATCGCAAACACAACATGTAACAAGGGTTGAAGGCAGTCTCAATCATCGAATGTCAACCTTGGAATTCATCTTAAGCATTACCCATTACCCTTCCCGAATCGAACATGGCTACGGAGGGTAATTCAGATGGTATCTTCGAGAGATGATCTGCTCAGACCCCTTCGCCAACGGGACGCACAATGGACCCAGATTTTCTGAAGCCGCAAAGCGACGCATTTCTGCAGAATTGTACTGCCCCTGCTGACATTGATTTGTCATATTTTCTCCTGTTTCTGAGGTTTCTAGGCTTAGGTACCATGTTGAATTCTCTGGGAGTCGGTATGTCCATGGTGCCCCAAGATTCTTGGTTTCGGAAGGGTCGAAAAACTGCAGCTTCTCTCAGATTTTGCTTCCTGCGGGGCAGTCAAGACCTGGAACACTGGTGAACCAAAACAGATTGGACTTCTGGATGTTCCTCCCAAATATGTATCGATTCATAGGTGTTCATCCATCCCCATATATTGATAGATTGGAAAGTTCATCGTCTTCATCTTTCCAAACGGCCCAAGCTGAAGGATCAACATGCAAACAAGATCAAAAAGAACACAAGAAAGCTGTTCAAGTGAAGATCTTCCTGACTCTGGATCTTCCCTGTTTAACTGTTGTTCCAAGACCTTCCAAAAAATTGGGAACCTCAATGCAGGCGGGTTGGGTTCTGATTCCAGCAACGCTTTGTTGTTTTTCCCATTGACATATCCATTCAAAAAACTGATTTTCATGGATTTTCCCGGCTTTTCCCATATTTTCCCGGCTTATTGCCCCCTTTGATCCCATTGAAATGCCCATTGATAGGTGCTTTTCCCAGGTGTTCACAGGAATTCCTGTGATTTTCCCATTCAAAGTCCTCCATTTTTAAGTCGACCCGGGCCGCCGGCCTTCTCAGCCGGCCTCTTGATCGAAGGTCACGAACTTGCCATCCTTGTCCTGTGATCTTCCCATGATTTGACTGTGTAAAAAACGACGATCTTCCGATCTTCCCATGATTTTTGAGGATTTTCCAGTGTTTATCCTGGATCCCTTGGGGATTTTGCAGGGATTGTTCCTGGTTGGTGGTTGAGCCCTACCCCTCTGAAAAATGATGGAGTTCGTCAGTTGGGATGATTATTCCATTCCCAACTGAATGGAAAGTCATAAAATTCCATGGTTCCAGTCACCACCAACCAGATATCTCATTAACCACCATGAACCACTATTCACCACTAAAAAATGATTCCCATTCCGCCGACGTTTCATCCCATGCCAGGGAAAAAACCCATGACGAGACATTTTTGCGTCCTTGGGAGCTTCTGGAAGCATGTCCTGATACAACACAGGGTCCACCTCCTGCGCGAAACGGAAAATGGGGCTTAGCTCTGATCCAAATGGTGAAAAAAACCGAGTTTCATAGATTAAAAAGGGAAACCCATGAGAAATAGCATCTTCGGGGGTACCGTATTTTAAGGATCATCCCTGATATAATTTTAAGGGTAGGTACTGAATGGTACTTATCCATAGCGAAACGAAGGATTATGCTTTGCAATGAAAATTATCCATAGCGAAACGAAGGACTATGCTTTGCAATGAAAATTCACGTCGCTTCCCATTTTCTTCACGGTCCTATGGGTTGTAGCATCTTGCGACGTTTCACCACTGCTTTCCAAGACGAGTCGGACATTGAGGTCTTCAGCCGAACGTATACTGGATATGTAAAATCCATGACGAAAACCACAGATTTTGTCCGTTTTGAACCAGAACAGTAATCTCCAAGCCCACTTAGCCTGGGCTGTTTAAGATGGAGTCATCTTAATGTTCCAATGCTCCCCAATCACCAAATCTTTGTCACTTCATGTGTAAAAAAACTACAGTGTGATCCTCTTTGATCCTGGAATTTTAATATCCTTTTCTGGAACACTAAATGGATGTTGTTGCGGATGATGATGATGATGATGATGATGATGATGATGATGATGATGTTTTTTTTTTTTTTTGTGATCTTGATCGGACACTATGTCCATCATGTTACACGAAAATCATGCAACATTGAGCTTCCAACATCTATATGTTAGTCCATCACATTTTTCACCAACATATATTCCTAGAAGTTATAATCACCCGCCCCATCATCTTTACATATCTTTACCACCCACCTTTGCCCACACTAATTTCGCCAACTTTTCCGCTCCCTGGCGCGTGGTGGGTTGACATCCAAGTCTGCGAGGTCGCCGCTGCTGTAGGGGTCAGGCCTCAGTGTGGGGCAGAAATCTGAATTTACCATCTGTTTCGTTGATAGTTATATATATAGAGTTATAGATATAGATATAGATACAAATATAGATATAGTTATAGATAGTTGATGATAGTTGTAGATAATTACATACATGTAATTACAGAAACATATGAACTAATCAAATCTAATCAACAATAGACGATTATTAATACATGGATACTTGTAGATATAATATCTACATATATCTACCACTATAGATGATTACAGATACACCATAAAACACATATCCTCGGGAAATCCATGAGTCTTTACCATCACATATTACTAGAGGTTGCGGATAAATGGGCGACGGTAGATTTACCATCTGGTTATTTAACATAGCCATGGAAAATCACAATTTTAGTTAGGTAAACCATCTGGGCCATTTTCCATGGCTATGTTAAATACCCAGAGGGTATAGACAATTGTAATGAGATTCACATTTGCGGGTGAATTATTTAATCTCTATTGTCTATGTGTAATTCTAAGATTATACCACATAATATACCATTTACTTACACATGGGTGATTCGAAAAACATGTGTGGGAATTCAGCTATAGAATCATGAGAAATTGTTGATTTCTGGATGTTTGTGATATATATATATAAATCTTACATACAATCTGCCTGATTAGCACGGAAACCCAAACCCCAAGCCCTTTTGTGTTATATATAATATGTATATATATATACACACATACACATAAATACACATCATATATTCACGTTAATACTGGCTGTTGATATTAAAACACCATGTATATCCATGTGTTAAAAGCCGAAAAAATGAAGCTACCAACTACTTGGTGGTTCCCACGAATCGTAAGTTGAAAAACCCCAGTGATATTTCTGGATTTTCTGGATGAACATCCGCTGGGATGAGCCACCAACGACCCACGCGTTTCCCGGGTTTCCACACTTGACGATGGGATCATAGATGGCCTGCAAGGGAAGGTCCCGAGACTTGAGGAAGTCGCGGTCCTCGCCGGAGTCAACCCGGCAACCAAAACTTACTGGTGCGTTTTACGTAGGGAATGGATGGAAACGGGGAATGGGATTGTTATTGATAGCTATTGTGGATCATTCCCTCATTCCCTACTAAGCACAAGTAAGAAAATGAACCAATGAACTTCAATGAACCATACACCAACTGGCTGTTTCAGGGGAACTGCTCCAAGGTAAACAAGAATTACCAGCTTCATCCAATGGATTCTTCTGATTACATGATGTTACAATGTGTTTCATGCCCATTTTGTCTGGGTAAAACATGGTAAAACTACGATAACTCGCCATACAGAACTCTTAAACAATGATCATCATAATTCATCATCATTTAGCCAAGAAAAACGAGCCGCATCTAGCATCATCTTCTGGTCAATTACGATAAATCCATATACCCTCTGGTAAACTAACATAGCCATGGTATAGATGGCCCATTTATAGAGGTTTACCTATAAACAATGATTTTCCATGGCTAAATCATGCCTGCCAAACATCATTGGTGGAACCATCTGCCACCATCATCTCTGGAGATCACCCGATGGTCAACGTTGGAAAAATCGTGGGAAGGCAGAGATCCCCAAGAAAAAGAGGCGGTTTCCGGAAATTGTTTATACTTTACTTTATAGGGAACATATAGATATATTATATAATTACATACATATTATCTTTCTTTTCCAAACTCTTGGAAATATCCAACACACATTGTGCGATGGGGAGACCATAGTAGAATATTTACCGCAATTCACCATTGCACAGCTGGGGATATGGGACCACTGGACCCAATGGATCATACCATAGAAATAGTTGATTTCCCCAGCTATAAAATGGTGATTTTCCATAGTTATGTAAACGTTTACCAGAGGGCCAGAGGGCAGCAATGGCTATTTGTGGCTGTCCCCGTTTTCCAAACAAACCAACGTTGAGGGCATCGAATCGCGCCGAGGCTTCAACTACTGTCAAGCTTTGTGAGTCATTTGCTGCCAACTCCGGTCCCAGAAGGTCTCAGATATGTACAAATTAGACAAAACGATGACGGTTTCTATATACCACTTGGATACCACTTTGATGACGCAAATCACCTTTTTATACACATTCCTAAGGAAAACCATGGAAATAAACCACCCATTGAATGTTCCCACATGTGGCACACCAAATCCTCCTAGCAAACAGTCCCACTCTCAGCTTTGGAGCCCACACATTATCAAACACACTCGTCTACTCACACAATTACCAGGTCGATCTCGTGTTTTCAACATCAATCAACATCGATCAGCTTACCACTTTGTATTCCCATGAGAACCATCAAAATCACCATGATATTCCCACGATATTCCCATGATATCATCAAATCATTGTTGGTTATTATATAAATTATATCTCCCATTAATCAAACAACATAGTTTTACCGTGTCATCTTATGGCAATTAACATCAATCAACCCGGCCTTGGGTCGGTAGAGGCCATGGGCCGGTCCGAACTTGGGGGCCTCTTCAGCAATGAAAAGGGAGCTCAGTCAGAAAGCGTTTTTTTGCCAAACATCCGGGGGGTGCCAAACAAACATGGGAAGATAAATATGTATATATATAATTATATAGTCTTTATTACTATATACGTATTGATTTCATTCAATTTCCATGTGGGTAAATATATACATTACACCATGGTGTGAGCAACCAAACATTGGGGGAGTCAAACCAAAAAAAGGGAGCGTGTCTGGGGTACCCCCAATGGGGGAATCACCGATCCTTGCAAAACTGCGTAGCTTCCTGAATGTGGCTCCAACATTCATGGCGCGTTTCCCCAATAGCTGGATGCGAAAACACAATGGAAAAGCCCGCATTATTCGATGATTTTTTCGGACGACCCCCAGTTTGTTGGAAGATGTTGGAAGCCCCCATTTTTGAGCCCATCAACTCATGAACCATCACCGTGGATGTAACCGCAATGTAGATGCCAAGGAACATTCGTTCTGAAAAATCATCTGAAACATGTAGTTAAAACAATGTCATAAACCACCCTTCAATGGGAAGAACTTCCACCCATTATGGTGAAATTGGAGATTGTCTATGGCATTGTTTTACCAACATGATTCCTTCACCTTCATGCATCATCAACAATCAATTCGTGTATTCCCTTCACCTTAGATCACCTCACTGACCAGGTGGGATTCGTTCAAACTCCTCACCTTGGTTCGCTTGAACTGCAGGAGGTGGGTCAAACTGAAGCAGGCGGACCAAGGGCGACCAAGGGCGACCAAGGGCAACCAGGGTGGCAGATCTGGAAATTTGGGGCACATCTAATTACCCTCTGGTTATGACTGACATAGCCATGGAAGCCATGGCCCATAGAACTAGATGGTTTACCTATCAAAAAATGGGTGGATCTTTCCATGGCAAACTGTTAGTCATAACCAGAGGGTAATGATTTCACCAGGTCACAAGGTCACCACGGGTCTAGATCTGGTGGGCTTATGGATGGGAATCACCATGGTAGAAAAAAAAACCTTGAAGTTGGGATATGGTGCCCTTACAACTGTGGTATTGCAGTATTCATATGTATGTATATATATACTATGTGTATATATATATATATACTATGTGTATATATATATACACATAGACATAGTATAAGTATGCACTTAATATGCACTTACAACTGGAACTGCAGCCCTTTGAAGGGCCAGCAGGATTCACGCAAAGCACAGCATTCGGACTTCGCTTGGCACGTCCATGGACCGGCATCGTCTCCATTCTTCATCATTTGAGGATTTTGAGATGCAGGGTCATCAAACATGAAAGAGAGAAAACCCATGTTTTTCCATGTGCGAACCATAGGAACCGGACATTTTCCAGCAGGAAAATGTCCGGAAAAGTCTTGCATCAGCACCAAAAAATTGCTGGTGATCCAATCCCTCCGGTAATCAGTTCGATGGCTATCTGGAACATCCCCCAGCAATAGTTCGATGGTAAAACCCCACTTCGAAATCCATATGGTTCGGACATCTCCCAGCCCGCTGGGCTGATGACGCCGGAGGGTTTGCTAACCAATTTCTCATGAATATGTCAGACAATATCCCATTAACATCTCAATCATATGCCATTGATATTCCATTAATATTCCATTACAGTAGTAAGCAATATCACATGAACATATTCCACTCATAGTCAAAAAAAAACATTCAGGCGGCCTCCATGGCGAACGCTTGCTTCGGCCTAAGGGCCGGGCATGGCCGGGGAAGGGCGTGGCTAAATCCATGGAAGGATTACATGTACTGCATCTATAGATGTTTAATAGTAGTTTAATAATATGTAATACATATACTGTAAGGAATATAGTAATGTTAGTGTACCATAGTTTTTCCCTAGTAAGTATGTTATAAGTTACTTAAATATGTTACCTTCAATGTATGTGTGTGTTATAAGTTATACCATGGGGTATACATACACTGAAAGAAAACAAGTTCAAGATCAATGGGGAAACCCGTTCGGGTTTCATGATCTACGTTCATGGTGGATTTCCCACATTCATGCAGCATTTTACCCCAGGGTAAGTATACATGACACCAACTGCATATCTGTATACATATATATATATATATGTATATATGTATGTATATATATATATATGTATACATACACATATATATATACATACATATATATATATGTATACATACATATACTTATATAATATACATGTTCTATGTTACACGTCCATGTGTTTTTCTTCAACATACCACATATTAACCTATCAACGGCACGTCTCATGGACCCAATATTTCTTTAGACCATGCGTTGCCACCGCCGGTCACTGGGCCTCCCTGACTAATTGGAGGCACACCATACTTTCGGTATTCCTCATGAATCTCCCACCTGAGCATAGCTTCACGCCACCGACCCCAGCGTTTGGGAATGGGTCATGGAACCGTTAAATGGTACAAATTCACATCAAAAATAGCTGGGTATTTATATAAATTTATACATAGATAAGCCATATTTAATCATATTTAATCCAATATAGATAACCCATTGATACCCCATAGATCAACCATAGATAAACCGAAATCCCCATAGAGGGGCCAAGTTACGCAACGTTCATGTCCTGACACTTGCCTACCGCCAAAAAAGACCATCCAACAAGTAACCGACCGAGCGCAAAGAAACAAAACAACATCTTAGAAACAAATATGAAAAATAGTAATATCATGCTATGTAATGCTGATACCTATATAATGCTATTTTCACACCCTTACTAAGCCGTTACTTCAGTTAGATCGTTCATATCCTTACCGTTCTCGAACGGTCAGGTGCCGCCTGGCAGGATTCTGCTTCACCTTATGCACCACCTTTTGCGCCTCAGGCGGAGCTGGGGAGAATGGAAAGTTCATAGTACTGGAATATGAAACAAAATTACTGTAGTAGTTCAGTCTATAGAAACTCTAATTTTCCATTCTTAGTACTAGTTCTAAGTTGATCATAGTTGATATGAATGGAATATGAATGAATGGAATATTAGAATGAACATATGAATGGACTGTTAGAATGAAGTAGAATGAACATGGATGGAATATGAATGAATAGAACTGGAGCATTCATGGGATATTCATGGGATATGAATATTTTTTTTGGTATGCATGTGCCTTTGGTGGAATATGAATCGGATATGAATGGAATATTCATGGGAGAGAATGGAGCATTAGTGGGATAGTAAGTAATGGCACATTGATAAGACATGAATGGAATATGAATGGCAAGAATCATTGGGAATTCATGGGATATAGTGGGGGATAATGGAGGTAAATGGGATGATGAATCTGGATGGATATGTGATATACCACTGTATACCACCTTCAGATACGCTAAAATACTTTCTGCTTCAGGATACTTTAGGGTGTTTCAGGGTTCCTTCAGAAATATTCTTTCCTGGCTGACCTCAAGTAAGACTGTGACAAGGCCATAATATGACACTAGTGATTTTTTTTGCCTCAACATCGTCTGTTTCGCAGCTTCAAGCACTCTAGATTTGACGATGTTGAACCCCCGCAATTATGAGATCGACGCAAACATCAAATGGGTTTGCATACCCAAAAAAAACTAGGGTACCCATAGTACCCATGTGCATTCATCATTGCAGGATTAAAACCTCATGTTCCCATGATTTTTATGGCCATCACTGGGGGGTGAATCCCTTTATTTTCGTTTTTTGGGGGATGCGAAAAGATCCCTGACACTTCAACCAAGACCTGTATGATTTTGTCGCTATGATGCGAAAATATAATAATATTCGTGATGTTGGTATATAACCAAGCATGGGGATTGAACCCACCAAGATTATGAAATATAGATGGGATAATTTCATGTTCTGATTTGGGTTAGTGTAATTTTCATCATTCTCATGATCATTACTGGTTGTCACAATTATTGAGATTCGTGACAAAGTGTTAGCACAATCTCTATGACTACCGTAGACCCAAGTAGCCATCAGAATGTCTCATCCCAGACTTTTAGTAACCATTCTCTTGGGGTACTTGGTATAGCTATGAATTATCATTATCACGGTTATCATCATTATTATTGGTTATTATGATATGTTTTAGTTTCATGATCATCATTACTATTATCATTATCATTACTTTTCATTCTTGCGGTTCACGCAATTGTTGTGCTCCAAGCGGTCATATAATCAGAGGCAATCATTGGTACTGATAATGGATGCAACAATCATGATATTGCTATAATATCACAATCATCATGAATAATTATAGTATCATTATTATTGTTGGTGGTCAAAGTTCAAATGATTGCTTACTTGCAATCATAGGTATTATTGTAGCTGTGGCAATATAGTCATTACAATCGAAATTATGACCATAATACAATTAAGACTACTATTATTAAATACTGTCATGACAAACATAGCTATTGCAATTAAGTACAGTTATGTATAGTGGTATAGTTCACTTACAGTACAGTCAATAACACTATAGTGATGTACAATTAATGGTCCAGTTATTAGATTAATAATTAAGTACGGTGATGTCTTGTTACTCTAACAATTAACCAATTATATTGACAATTATTAATACTTATATAATCTAATAGATTCTAATAGTTATGTCAATTCATAAGCCACAAGATATGTTAACCATAGTAAAGGAAAAACAGTAATAGTAACAGTATAAAATATAACTAGAATCTCAATTATTACCATTACTATAATTCCAATTATTGGTTACTTGTTCCAACCTTTTTCGTGGACGCGTGGACGATGGATCGGATCGCCTGCAGGAGCTGCAAGGCCTCAATGATGAAGCGCTTGGACTGGCGGCGGTCCGCGGTCCGCGGTCAGTACTGGGAATCCAATGGGAGTCTTAATAGGAATCAAATATATATATATATATAGCTACAATGGGAATGACTGGGAATGGGAATCTAATGGAAATCTAATGGGAATCTATAGATAACTACTGATAACTACCATATAATATCACATACTATCTTCATATATCTTTATATATCTTCACGTTTTTTCGTGGATCTTAATGGATCTTCTAATGGTTTTTTATATGTTATAATGGTGGTTTAACCAGCAAACCATTGGAACAAACATGGTGGTTGAATGGGGATCTAGTGGGATTACTAATGGAATCTAATACCAGTTGGTGACCCTCTAAGTTATGCTTGAAGGTTTTGAAGCCCTATATCCCTATTAACTATGGACATATCTACCATAAACTCACCTATAGCACACATACCAGTTCCAAACCAACTTAGCTAACCGTGCGGCACCAACTTGCACGACAAGTATCCATAAGTTCATAATGTTTTTTTTTTTTTTTTTTCGCACCAAACATCGTGATATGATCCCTACCCGCAACACCTTAAAATGATTCAAAAGGTAGCAAGCCACTATCCTCTTTCAGAAAGCATATGGGTGTACCGTACCCATAAGACCCGGTGATGGGGTTGAAAAAACAGCTGGGAAAACTTGTCAGGCTATGAGACCTTCAGAATGTGCAGTGATCATAGCAAAGTTGGAATAAATAAAAGCTGTTTGGTGTTCAACAGTTGGAATATGAGAGGATCATCATCCCAAATAGCATGCAAATCACTATATGTTATACATATGAGCAGTGTTGAAAACCTTTGTCCCTTTCTACCCAGGTCATGGATTATGACAAAGCCTAATACATGGGGTAGTATAATCCCACTCAAAATCAATTCAATCAACCACCAGGTATCAACGATATTTCCATTCCCAGTTGATGGCTTGAATCAACTATATCTATTGACAGTCTTCCCACATTTGAAAACAGTTTATCATTGTAATCCCTGAAAAAAAAAACGACTTATACTTACATTCAAACATATGATTGATATCTTTAAATGGGTGTGTCTGAAAATAGCGTACCCCTAAACCCAATGGTTAATGATCATTATCCCTATTAAATGGCTATAATTGGGAATATACCCTATTTTCAGACAAACCCAAATCATCTAAATCCTGAATCACGAGAACATCAACCGGTGATCGCTGCCTTCATCTGGTTGCCGGTGAGCCCCACATCCTTCATGAGGTCCACGGTCTTCATGGGCCTTGACCGGGCCCCAACGGGCTTCGTGGCTTCAACGGGGCATCGATGTAAAAACCAGCTGTTGGATATGAGGAGATCATGTCATTGGATTGGTTTAAGGGAAAATCTACAGGAAACTATGTTTTTACTGGTTTTTACCATGAACTATATGAGGAAACTAACCTCCCGCAACATTTTCTCATCCTCCGATTCGATCATGGGATTCTCATTGGATTATCAGACCCCATTGGGTCTTGACACATCCCAGTGATACGAGGACATCATGGGATTTTCATAGATTTTTTGATCTGAATGGGATACAGATAGCGATATTCAATCAACAGATCTGAATGGCATTTGAGTTGTTCAAAAACAAAAAAGGAAGCAAAAGCGCCAAGATTGCAAATCGGATCAGGATCTCTTTGTGATCAACCATGAGATCTTGCGGTAGCTCCCTGCACCATTGACGCACCCAGATGAACAACAAATACCAGAGCAAAGGTGCGATCAAACAAGAAATGGGAAAATAATGTGATACAATATGTGTATATATACATAATTGTATGATTATGTATGCATATAATTGTTTGTTGGCAAGTTACTATGGCATATCCATTTCATCCCATTCGGCACGAGCATCGCACCATGTCAAAAGTCCAAAAGCTACATGTTCCCCCCTGTGGAAGACATCCCAATCAGGGTTCATTACTATATAGCTTAAACGTACCAGTATAAGCTACAACCCACATACTGATACACTCCCGAAGTTTAACACAATTTAAGCTGGAACCCCGAAATGTGGCCTAGAAGTTGTTTTTTCCTTTGTATATATGGGTTTGTCTGAAAATAGGGCCAAAATCCTGTGGTTTATCAGAAGTTTCTCCATCGAAATGCCATTTTGGGGCATATCATGATATATCATGGCATATCCCATTTTCAGACACACCCGTACTTCGATGGGCCCTCGTTTTTTATTGGCTAAATATTGGATTGTCAGCCAGTTACAAAGTAGTTAGCTAATCTGATGGCCTATCTAAAAAATGTTCGATTTTCCCACGTAGATAATATAACTATGGTCAGTTAGCCAATCTGATGGCCCATCTATAACTATGGTCATTTTTGAGTCCCGTCCTAAACTTTCACAAACTTTCTGCCCAGCTGAGAGGCGCATCACGGAAGTCTTCCTGTCAGGGATGAGCCAGTGAACATGGGGTACCTTGATGCTTAACCCCTGTCGAAGATCATCCACCATCATCAGCATTGTCAATATCCAGAACATCATGATCATCACCACCACCACCACCACCACCACCATCAACATCATCATCATCATCATCATCACCACCACCATCATCATCATCATCATCATCAGCTGCAGCATCGCTTGATATCAGTATTTCTCTCACCTTCAGCAAAGAAATGGTCTTTGAGTTGCTGGGTGTTAACCCACCCAAAAGTAATAAGTACTGGCTTGCAGATCATGTAACAAGTACTCCTTCTTTTTTTCCCATGGGCCAACCGGTCCTCCATGTTCTTGATCAAGATTGTGGTGATTCTTTTCATAATGGCCTGCAGTCACCGAGGAAGGTGCCATGAGATGCCATGAGTATGTCAAGTGCCTTGAGTTTGTCTGAAAATAGGCTACCCCCGAATTTGATGGTTAATCGGTTCATAATCATTTTCCCAGCATGAAATGGATATTTAGAAGGTATACCGGTATACCCCATTTTCAGACACACCCACAACGATCCAGAATCCAGGTCAAAATCATATCGGATGATGGTCTCTTGGCCTGCCATGCTCGGTGGCATTACAACAAGCACGCATGTAAGAAATAAGTCAAGAAAGCATGTTGCACCCAAACAATACCTCATGTCACTTAATCTTACGATCTATATCTATATCTATATCTATGTAAAGTATATCATATATATATATTATTGATGTATAATATATATATATATATACTTGGTAAATTCACTGATGATGCCGTTATGCTGACTCTTATGATAATATAGATGTCAACAAAAATGCACCAACGCAACATCATGCAACATCTGAGTGAGTTCAAGGTCTGGAAACGGGATGAAGTTTTTCGGAACATTGCCATCTATGGCAAATTCTTAGATGAGTATATAGAGGCTACTAATATGATGTAATATGATATATGGGGAAATATATATATATATGACATGATATATATATATATGACATGATATATATATATATATGATATATATATATATCTATATATGATATATATATATATATATGATATATATATATGATATATATATATGTATATATATATATGTACATATGTATATGCATTAAGGGTACTACCGAAATTCATCCGCTCTTTTCCACCATCCGCCCACCCTCGACCACCTCGATGCTGAGGTTGCTGTTGGGCATCCTCTTGAAGAGCTGCTTCTTGTAGCCCTGGAGACATCGCTTCTGTGCCAAACCAATGGTTAAAAATGGTGAAACAATACTAAAATGATGGGATAACAGGGTAACACACCATATTTATATATATATATATTTGGCTTACTTGGAGGGTCTAGGTTCACACAAAGATGGCCCCCCTAAAAACCAGATTTCTTTCGCCGAATCAACCCTGGCAAACTTTTTTGTAATCATTGAAGGGCTTTGAAGATCGTTGAAGTTTGCTATATTGCCTCAAACAATGGAAGTCCCCTATGATTGCCTACTTAGGTCCAACCTTTTGCTGCTTAAGTCCAGAAGTTAGGAACCATGAGCTTCCCATGGATGTTACTGAAAAATCCCTGCAACTTGTCTAGCCCAATTTTCCGTATTTTTTGTTTGTCACATCCCTGTTATTTGGATGGGTCAAAATTAGGTACCGCAATAAATAGATAGATACCAACAATAGACCAAAATCAAAATCATCCAAAATCTGTTCCCATCTCCGCCCTCCGCCGCTTCCGCACCCTGGGTTTCTTCTTTTCCACAGTGTCAGAGGGCACGGGACCCCTCGCTTGTCGGGCCACTGAGTTCCTTACAGCTGAAGTTTGGGCAGCCCGAGGTGGCATAAGTATGTCTATAAATATATAATATAAATAATTACATACATATATACATATATACAGTATACATACATACATTACACTACATTACTTTACATTGGATTACATCACATCACATCACATCACACCACATCACATCACATACATACACCTAGACCCTCAAAATACCTCCAAAAAATGGCAAACGTACTAAGATTTTGGGGCAAAACATCCTTCTTTCTTGGTACAAACGGAGGGTCTAGATCTTTACAGTATATGTTGTAGTTATATAATGTTATATGTGATCATTAGTGTTATTGTTATATAGATCCTATTGTATTTTGCCATTTTTCCTAGTGCTCCTAAATCTCATGAGAAGGTGTTTAGACCCCAAACGCACCAATACAGTCTCAGAATGTGTTTGACAGAATCTTACAAATCACTTCATGATCATTACCAGTAGAAGTTTCCGTTTTTTGGGGAATTGGAACATGTTTTGATTGATGGTTTTACTGCAGTCAAAGGACTTGAAGTTATATTAGCTTATACTGCATTCGCTATATAGGAATCCATGTTCAAGAAGTTTCGGAGTATATATATATATACACAAACCTAGACCCTCCAAATACCCCCAGCACAAAAAGGTTAAGGTACTAAGATTATGGGGTAAAACACAAACGGAGGGTCTAGGTATATGAATGTATATGTAATATGCATGATGTATACGTAACACATTCAATCTTATAGGCCGTCTTCTGGCCGTGGCACGGTCCACAAACGGCCTGGTACGGCCACTTTGTGGAGGTATTGTCCAAGCAACACCACTTGGCTGGTTCGACTGTGGCAATTGGATAGTACAGTATAACCTGAAATAAGAAACCAACAGGGGTTTTGAACACTGCACACTTAAACTTTGCTTCGTTGCTACTCTGAGTTTGAACAAAACTAGCTGGGAATGGCTTACTTTCCGTAAGAAAATGGAGATGCACATTCACACAGCCAGGAAATATTGGAATTTCATCTAAGGACCATAAGGACTTAATTTCCCAAAATGTAATTCATTCCAGAATCATCCAACGGCTGGGATGAGCCGCCCAAGCGAAACACGCTCATGTTGATATGGGGATATATTACCAACAAACGTGGAGGCATAACCACTTATCGCACACCACTGGCATAAAGCACTCATGGGCATATGCCGCATATGCCTTTCCGAGATCGAGGATGCTACTTGGAACATCTACTAGTTTTGGATTATTCTGTTGTTGCCAATCATCCTCCAAAGAAAAGAAATAACTATTTATAATATATATATATATACATAATATACATATATACATACACATGATATGCCAAAGGGGCTTCCAATCCAACACCTGGCACCTCTTTGATACTCAATTCCAGAAGCACGCTGATCAGTTGAGCTGAGATTGGGAGGGCAACCCACAGATCATATCACATGGCTTTGCCTGAAAATAGGGTGCCCCCAAATCCCATGGTGAATCATTATATGTCCTATTGAATTGCCATGAATTATGGCCGGTACCCCATTTTCACCCTGTTTTCAGACACACCCAATATTGGTTTGACCAAAAAAAGTCTATGAAAAGGATGCTTATCCCCCATTAATTAAGTACATTCCCATTACGCCACATAAGTATAATATAACGAAGACTAGAAACCTATTGTCTAGCAATACTTTCGCAACTTGACTTATAAATTTCCTTACTAGGGATGTTTGATCAGATCCCAAGTATATATATATATAGTATAATATCAGTAGTTGATGCCTGTTTCAATGCCCATCAGCATCATGAAGATAGCACCGGGGCCCCCAGCGTCCGCACTTGGGTCGGCCGCACGCCGGCGTAGCCAACGAAGCTGGCGGAGAGGTGAAGGGAGTTGTGAAGCCTTTACCCTTCAACGAGTAGTAAAGATGAGATTTAGTATGATTCAGTATGACTTAGGTCTGACTTAGTTTATCCTTCAAAATGGGAGAAGATGAGATTTAGATGGATTTAGTATGATTTAGTCCTGCGGTCCTGGTCATTAAATCTTCAGACTTTGAACAAATGGGCTTCCATCCTGTGCGAATCACATGATCCTGGCGTCGACTGAGACTGAAAACATCTGAGAATGCTCGAACTGGCCATGAGAATTTAAGAACAGCTCTCTTCTGACATGAAGTAGCTGAAGGATGCTGAAGGTCTGAAAGTCCATTTTTCTGAGGTCTGAAGTCAATACTGCATCAAGATCATGAGAGCAATTGTGCTAGCTAAGGCGATCCATATGGGAACCATCATCTTCAGTCACTTTTTGTGACCACCAATGGGGTTTGTACCATGTATCCCCAGCCGCCCCAGCATATAGTTTCTTTGATTCCAATTTTGTTGATTGCGTTCACCAGATTACACATTTTTTCTGTCGGTTAAAAACAATCTGTCGGAACTTAAACAAAGTTTTTCCAGACCATGTTTAACATTCGAACTTCGGCTCATGTCGGTCGGTTTTGTATCCACCACTCTGGGGTTGCTCCAAACAAATCCGGATGTGCGCGCCTCAATGGCATGGCGGCCAAAGCGACCAAACATGCCTCCAATTGACAAAAAAAACATGTGGTTTTGATCCGTCTACAGATGGTTAAATCAGAGTTATTGATGGTTAAACCATGTTGAAACATGTTGAAACGATGGATGAACACATGATATTCATGCTTGAATCGCTTAATGTTGTTTTTTTTTCCAAAATGGGAGACACACTCATTCAATCTATTATTTGTCATGCTTAAGTTTAAAGTTTAAACTATTTATAATTATAAACCAAAGTTTGACAAGCACCCAATACTTAGCTGCGAGCTCATTTCGTTTGGACACATCTCCATCGGTGAATTTCGTTTGGACGATTCCGTCCCTGGCGGATCTCCGCATGCTGCTTCTGAAATGGTGGGCCACTTGGGAAGGATTCCCCTGAAATAAACCGTGATTCCAGTGAGGTCACTAGAATTCATCCATATATACATATATATATATATAATACAATATAATAATATAATATAATAATATAACATAATAATATAATATAATATAATATAATATAATATAATAATATAATATAGTATAATATAGTATAATATAATATAATAATATAATATAATAAATTATAATATAAAAATATAATAATATAATAATATAATAATATAATAATATAATAATATAATAATATAATAATATAATATAATATAATATAATAAATTATAATATAAACATAATATAATATAATATAATATAATATAATATAATATAATATAATATAATAAAATATAATATAATATAATATAATAATATAATATAATATAATATAATATAATAATATAATATAATATAATATAATATAATAATATAATATAATAATATAATATAATAATATAATATAATAATATAATATAATAATATAATATAATAATATAATATAATATAATATAATATAATATAATATAATAATACCATAATATAATATAATATAATAATATAGTAATATAATATAATATAATAATATAATATAATAATATAATATGATAATATAATATAATATACTATAATATACTTTAATATACTATAATATAATATATACATATACTATATATATATATAAATATGCATATGCTTAAAATAGCTTTGACCCAGCAGTTCTTTGATGCTCAAATCCACCTTTCTTCATCATTCATGGTTACCATCAGCCGGTGACCCAGGGTCCCGACCAGCAGGGTAGTCCGACGGCTCAGGGGCCTGGAAGAACATGTGGCCATCCAATACAGTATGGGGTTTTCCAAAGATGGGGGTTACCCCAGAATGGTAGGTTTGTAATGGCAAATCCTATTAAAATGGATGATGACTGGGGGTAGCCATATTGTAGGACATCTCCATATGACTCCCACTTCTCCCTAGAGCGATATCAATCATGAATGCTGAGACAATCTCGATATTCGCCCAATCTTAGTATATCTTAGTACATTCACGATTTTTGTTGGGGTATTTTTCAGGGTCTAGGTCAAAATCAGTTGGATAAGATGCTGGATACCTATTTCTCCAGGGGCCAACTCAGATTGCGAAATCTTGAGACTGCCGCGCCTGTTCACCGCCATGACCGCGACCGCCCCGAACTCAACTTCTGAGGCGAGCCGTTCAGGCTGCGGTTCATGCTGGATCTGTTTATTCTTGAGCTTCGATCTAAGGTTTATAATATTCCTCCAGTAAACTAACAGCTATGGTAATGTGTTGGCCAATTTTTAGTTGATTTACCGACAGTACTAAAATGGTGAATTTCCATGTTTGCACTTTGAAATACAAAGACCAGTGCGACATCTGGTCCCCTGCTCACCAGTTGCTGACAGGGAACTTGCCATTCGGAAATCGTAGTCAGAATCTTGAATCCTTCAAGAAGCAGGTGCAAATGACAATTTTATGTATAGACATCCACCGACACAATAAGGACAGTTATTTACCTATACATTATTTGAGTAAGCTTCTACGTTTCTATCTCTATTGAGTTCCGACAAGGACATCACCGCGCTTTCTTTTGTCAGCATTAACTTGCATTTCACCAGCGACAGTCAGAGGTATCTTTGGCAATCCCGAGTGTACGATCACAGGCCGATGCTACCATGATTGTGTGGGCCATTTATTGTATAAAGTGAGCAACAACTTTAAGTGGGTGTCCAAAAAATGGGGATTGCCCCTAACTTATGACCATTTAGTGAGAGGCAGAACATGATCAACCAGTGGATAGAATGGTGTACCTTTTTTTGGACCCAAGTGCTAGCTCAGCACAAGCAGGATCGCAAACCTCTATCGAAGCTAAAAGGAATGTGTACAAAATGCGCAAATCAGCTGGCTCTCTCATTTTGCTGCGACAGGGCAGTCAAATACCTGACCGGGTAGCAGTAAACAGAAGATTAATAGAGTTGGACTGGCACAATGCGTGAACAAAATCTGGCTTCGGTTACAAAACCTGAGTATATACCTGAGTCATGTCCAAACGATCCATTTCAGGTGACACTGCCAATTGTTGTACCAATGTCTTGATTTATGACCCAACATAGGTCACTGAACCGTGCTGAAATGGTGCCATTGTGAGGCCCCCATGTGATTTAGAAACCAAGTGCTTCAGCTTGAATTTTGTACCCGTGCTGGTTCTCTCCCTACAAAATAATCATCCCAAATTTGCGTTGTTTACCGTTGCTGCTTTCCCCTCTCATATGTATATACATATATAGATGCATATAGATATACACACACACTATTATATCTTCAACCCGTATATCATTTACAACAATAAAAAAACATTAAAAAAACACAGTTTCAAATCAGAACAATATCATTAAATACTGAATTACAGTAACAAAACAATACATATTATCAGTACAATAACCATACTATTCCAAATATGTATTCATATTACCATTAATATCCCTCAAATAAAATGATATATTGTATCATGAGGGTGGTAAGACTATTGATTATATAGTATTAAACCTATCACTATTATTAGTATAGTACTTATTCTAATTATATACTATGATATATTATGTATCTAGCTACTCTAATTGAATTTGATATTACGACACCTCAACCATCAAATGCTTGGGAAGCTCATTTCATAGCTCCAACTGGCCCAGTTGTTGTTGAGACTATGGATACCTCATCCTGAGGGTCCTGGGTAATAAACAAAGAAGTAACTATACTAATATCCAGTATGTGGTAAAGCATTGCTAGTATAGTTACTATAATAAACTATAGTAACTATACTAATATCCAGTTTTTGATCCAGCATATATCCTAATGTGGTAAACCTGCCATGTTTACATTCCATGAACTAGCCATTGGGGGTCATTTTGCATCATCCCATTGCCAGAGGCTTTTTGGCAGTGCCTAATCCTTACCATCAGTGAGGTCATTATAATTCATCCAAATGCCATAATCTAATAATGTTTTACCCCATACTCCTATAATGAAGTACTTTAACATTTTGGTGGATATTTGCGGGGTCTAGGTAAAGAAAATGGATAATCACCATGTGTTATAGGTAATCATCTAGAAATGTAGCATTTTCTACATCTATGCAACTTTAGTTTACTCAGGGATGTATACCATTTATTAATGTAGAAATCATATATCCTATTATTTTTCACCATGGTAAACAATCCATGTTATCCATGAGACCCTCATTATATCCGCAGAAAAAAATGAATGGCTCAATAAACAAAACATTAATTAATACACAATGTTGTATTCATTTGAAAAAAAACATTGGTTTGTTGGTTCATGTCCCCAGCCACGGCGCTTCTTCAAACGCTCGGCCAAATGAGGAGCCAAGTGGTGCCGCTCAGCAAAGCGCCTGGCAACCTCAACAAGCCGAAACGCGTGTGCCCGGTTCGTGGTTACCTTGGGAATCCATGTATATATATATAAGTGTGTGTATATGTATATATATATATATATGAATGATTAGTATACATATGTGTATATATATATACATGATTACATAAAGAAATACATATATGATTTGTGATAGCTAAGTTGGTTCTTAACTCCAAAAGGAGTTGGGTTTATGATTGGTTTATGGTACATTTATCGAACCACTCAATGGGGTTTATGGTAGACTCGCCTGGGACACATCGTCGGAGGCATAGAGGAAGATCTTCTGTGGCGGCAACTCCTGGCACCCGACAATCCGAAAGTAACATGGATGAGTTAGGGGTGCCCATATATTCGGAAACCTCCATGTATATACATAGATATAAATTAAACCAACAGCCTAGGTGTATATATGCATATAGTTGTATAAACAATATAAAAAAAAAGATATGTAAATTATTTGTACAGATGGATTACTATGTCTATAAATATGTCCTCCAAACATACTCAAATAATCATGATTACACACCATCCGTGACTAAGGGGAAACGCCCCACCATAGTAGTTTATTGCAGGCTGGCATGGTGCTGGCATATTTGACCTACACAGTGCTAAGCATCACCCATTCACTTCGACAAAAGGGTGTCTGAAAATAGGGTAATACCCCCTGAATGGACAACTTGATGCGGATAATAATCATCCATCGGAATTGAGGCTGCCCCTATTTTTCAAGCAAACCCGGAAATATATGTAGGTATACCAACCAAAACCACACAAAAAAACATTCCTGCTAAGCAACGAGGCCAGCACTGACAATGTAATGCCGGTTTTCGCGGCTGATATTCACCATTCATCCATATTCATCCAATTGTTCCTACCTCTCTTTGGTCAAAACCGCATCCTTCAGGTGGTTTGGAAGAACATGAAACAACAATCTTCCGAAGAACATCCAACTGTCCGATCGAAAAGACTTTTTCGCTGGTTCAAATTTTCCACTTGTGACATCCCAATGCATCTTTCACGCCATTTTGGGGGGATCAAGACTTGAACCCCCAGGGGTTTCATTGCTCGTGGATCTTCTTGCACCAGTCATATTCACTCATGAGGGTCCAATCCCAAAGGTGACGCCCCCTAAAAATTGATACTAGTAGGTAAAAAAAAAAAAAAGATAACAATAGATAATAATAGATGGTTTGGAAATGTTTGGAAGCCTTTTTTTGTGACTGTTGGGGAACCACCATCCTTAACCCGGCGTCAGCCGGAGGACCTGTGAGATGTTCACCTCTGCGATCAGCAAGGGCCTTGGCGAGGTCACAGCCTGGTGGCCGTGCGCGGTTGGCCCCCCACAATTGCAGGACTTCGATTCTTTTCATATCCGTTTGACTTATGACATCTTATGACTATATGAGATATTCACTGACATGAATCTGGGCAAATTATAGTAATTCACCTGAAATAAATTGAAATAAGGCCACTTGGGGATGATTCCCTTACTAACCATGATTCCAGTGAAGTCACAGTGCAGTCACTATAATTCATCCAGATTAGTGGGATATTGCAAGAAGGCTTTTCCATCACAGCAAAGACGGGAAGCGATTGTACCCAGCGGCATGTAACAGTACCCTTCTTCGGATGAGCAAATCAGCAATTGATTGGAGTGAATAAGTTGTTGTCTTTGGACTCCACATATATCCACAATTATCGACAGATTTCGCCCGGTTTACTCAACAATGTAGATCCAAAGTACACTCTGAAAATCTGATTCTTGGCCATCAAACAATACCCAATTACCCCACATGTACTGAGGAAACACATCCTATGGCCACTGTGCCATCGCGGACCTCCATGGTGTCGGTTCTTGGATGCCTTGGTGCGGCACTCTCCCAAAAATAGATAGAGCTTGAACAACATGGAAATTGATGCGGTGAACATATGAAGAACACCTCAAAAAACATCCTGGAAACAACTCATCAGCCGCCAACTTGGGACCCCCAAAAACCCGTATAGATCCAATCTGATTCGATAGTTAAAACGATAGATCTTGTCAAATACAAATCGGAGTAGATTATAAGTAAAAAAAAAATTGTAGTCATTAAAACCAATCATTATAACATGCTACGTACATATGATAGGTCCTATAGGTCTGCTTCATTAAAGCACCTTGGGTAGTTATATAATACAATGATACATCAAAGATGTCATCCAATGTTTCACTCAATGCAGCCATCCTGCATGAACACATTCTACACCATCCAATTATCTGGTGGACACAATTTGCAAATATTTACAACATGTGTGATATATATATATATATATATATATATGTCTGAAACACTCCGCAAGAGACTGGAAGACCCAAACACAAAACTGATTGAAGGATGAATGGTCTGTGCCACCCGGGCCCCTTGTGTTCTACCAGTCCTGAGGGTCTGAGAGAACTACGTAATTCGGGTAATGAAAATTAGGGACGGACTGAAGCAGTTTTTCCACCTGAAGCTCTTTAAGTAGAGAATGAAATCGCGAATGTTGATGGATTTTGGTCAACAATCTGTGGAGTCTGATAGATTTTGATGGATTTTTGATGGATGTTGATGGATTTTTTGCCCTTGGGAAGCCGCACGTTGGCAGCGGCAGTCGCGGACCAGCACGGGCGCTTGGTGGAGTGGAGATGATTTGTGGACGTCCTTGGCTGGAAGTATCATGACTTAGACCTGGGAAATTTATGTCCGCAAAATCGCAAACTTTAGTGATATTTATATAATATTATAATATATATATATAATATTATATACTGATAATCAACTCTTCGATCTTGGGTTTACTGTAGTTGTTCTTCCATTCTTCGCATGACTTACCTCAGTTTTCACAAACATGTTGTACGGGGATGGATCAATGTTGCAAGGTAGCAGTGGACCTGACCACACCAAAATCGTCATGTTTGGCACTACTTGGAGGATCACCCCACGAATCGTAACGGCGAATCGTAACTGGGATTATAACCCACAAAAATAAATGGGATAACCCACGGAATGAGGACTTACTAGCAGGGTTTTAACCACTTACCTCCAAGTAAACCAATATCAATTTTGACCCGTTGAACAGGCGCAAGAGGAGGATTGGATTCATCACAAGAATATGAGGCGAATCATGATCTCGTTCCTAGCCATACAGTTGGAGAAATGACTAACATGGACTGGGACATAATGGGGCGCCACCTAGCTCTTTCTACTATATATATATTATAGTTCCATATTATGTCATATGTATATATATATGTATTAATATATACACTCACTCAGACTCTCCGAGTACCCAACAAATGCTTTTACCTCATAATCTTATAGTACTTCAACCATCACCTTTTGGGATTATCTGGAGGGTCTAGGTATATTAAAAAATATATACACATATATCCATACAGTATCCTCAATCAATCTGGGATGCCTCTCTCTTGTTTCTTGCAAAACAGCCGGAAAAACCTTCGATCAAACGATACATCCCAGCAACTGGAGACCACATAGAGTGGCGCACGGAGGAATGGATATGGCTATGGGTAACATGATGAGAGGCCCAGCAAATACAGAAGGATCCATTCAGTCATCTATTTTGTCTGTTCGTTCATTCAGTCACTCATTCACTCATAATGCATTCCTTCGTTCATCTTTTCATTCAGTCCATTGGTCATTGATAGCCTTCCATCTATGGAAAATCACCATCTTTAAAAGGTAAAACCATCTAAAAAAAGGCCACAAGCTGCCAAACTACCGGAGGGCACTTGGTCCTGTGACCCAAAAATGACCCTTCAAGTTGACTAGCACCTATATATTCGAAACATGGTGCTGGAAGGTGCTTGTATATTTCTCAACAAGAAACAACATTATCAACATCATCAACATCTGTCAACATATATGTGAAACGAAAACATAAAACCCATTGCCCATGATGCATATTTATCAATATTTACATTACATCTGAAATTGCCTACTCAGACAGCAAAAAAAAATCATGCAGCGTGCAATCCCATCCCCGATCTTCCGAGCTGAATCACCACTTTACCCTGAAAAAATCACCAGTTCTGTGTATTTATCCACACATATTTCCATGTCACACCCTCCAAACGAGAACAAATGCTTCCAGTATGTTCCAGTAGAAAAAAAGGGAAACACACAATTTTTATGGGTGTCACATGGAGGGTCAAAGGCTTGTTGCTTATATATAATCCAGATCTATATGAATTCTATATATATATATACATCGTATATCCCTTAAAATCACCGGCCACGCTTCGAGCGGTTTCCTTCGGCGAGGTGCCGCACCGAGGTACGGCCTTGTGATGTCGGAGTGAAAGATGACGGGATCTGGGTAAATAGGACCTATACATACCTTTTTTAGGGGGATGAACATCCATAAATCTCAGCTATTTTGATGTGAACTACAGGGGGATAGGGTTTTGACCCATCCCGATTTCTCTCAATGAAGGGGACATTTCATATGGACCTTTTGAGACCCACCTACCAAGAATTCAGACCTGGTTACCTCGAAGATGACACTAATCTGCACGGTTAGTAAGGGAAACTAACTGGATGATGTTAACACAATAAGCCAATTTTGGGTCAGTTACTATACCAACACCGTGCTTCCGGGGAAGTCGCAGTGAGGTCTGCCTGCGGCCGCTGCGTCGGCCGCTGCTTCGGCTGCACCCTGCGACAATGCTTGGTCTCAAGCCACGGTGTCATTGGGAATAATCTTCCCAAATAAGATTGACAATAGAAAATATGTGAAACTACCCACCCGATTTTAATATATATATACAATATGATGTTAACTTTTAATATATAACATGATGTTAACTGTTAATCAATGGCAACTGCCTTTTGCGGAAATCACCATATATACTTAAGCATGTGCGATCTGAGGGCTGTAGACCCACAAATTTATGTCATGCTTCTCACGGATCTTAAGTGCTTTGTCCCAAAATGCTTTGAACATATCTTGCAGTTGTTACTAAATGTCATAGTTTCATATAGTTTCCCCATGCTTTGTTTCCCCTGGCCCTTTTTTTTACTCATGTCATAGTGTCTTACTCCCTGGGCAGAAAACACAAAAACCACCTGGGCGAATTGCTTCGGCGGATTCAATGGGGTCATTCCATGGCTCAGCGTGTTACTTTCCCACAATTTCTGCAATACATTGTAGATGGAAAAATATATTATATATGGAATATTTATGGAATTATGGAATGTAATGATGTATTCCATTAAAAATAATATAGATGTCCATAAAATATAATATATGGAATATTTATTATATATTATACATACATTACTGGTTGGTGGTACACCTACCCCTCTGAAAAAATATGAGTTCGTCAGTTGGGATGATGACATTCCCAATATATGTAAAAATCGAAAATGTTCCAAACCACCAACCAGATTATATATACATATATGATATATAGAAAAAATCAAGGTATGTTCTAAATAACCCGTGATAAATCCTATATAATCCTATATACATGAATGACCTTGAAGGGCACATGGGCGTGGTAATTATTGCATGCGACTGTACCATTGATCAGGGCTGAGCTTTAAATCTTTGGTCGTACTGCCCACCTCCCCCAACATGAGTCTGCATGGTCCATCATTCTCTAAACTAGACGTTCGGATGGGATTACATATGTATATCCATACAGCATTATTATTTGTGTATATATATATATAGAGAGAGGCCCGAGAGCTGTATGTATATATATATGGATGTATCATTATATATGATTATATATTTATATCTAACAAGAACACGACACATTATAGCGTTGTTATACCGTTGTAACTAACCCAGCTTCAAGCGAACTGTGGGGCGAAGCCCCGTTCGCAACATGTCCCACCTGCGTTGTCGCACTGCGGGGCTGGCCAGATCTGGACGGTCATCCCGAGATGGTCGATATGAAATGATACTGGTTGGTGGTTTTAACGAACCATTCAATCTCCGCAATGACATGGTGGATCATAGTGCCTATCATGGGGATGGAGTTTCCAGACTTCGGTTCCTGAATCTTCCAACCTTCTCTGGTTGGTGGTGCAATAACAATCTTGAAAAATGATGGAGTTCATCAATGGGGTTGGGATTATCCCATATATGAAATGGAAAATGAAATTCATGTTCCAAAACACCAACCAGGATATGACAGGTTTACTGGTTGGTGATTTCAACCCCTCTGAAAAAATATGAGTTCGTCAGTTGGGATGATGACATTCCCAATATATGTAAAAATAAAACATGTTCCAAACCGCCAACCAGTTTATAGGTTTTGATGTTTGATATGTTTTGATCCATGTTTTGATCCATCCTCAAATGCCAACAACAATGTATCAAATCACCATGAATATAATGAATGGCGTGTCTATTGCATGAAAAATCCATCAACATCGTAGGTACGAGTACGGATATTTGCGTCATGGATGGTGAGGGATTGCCACACCTTTGCTGGCGCCATTGGCCCCTGAAGCTGCAGTGTCCTCCTCAAGCTGGAGCGCAGTTACCATGGATGGAACAACCCAATTAGCAGTGTGTTAACATCTACATTTCAGTTTTTTTTTTCCGGCCATCAGTGCTCTTGTAGAGATTGTAGAACCTGTACCGCCAAGCCTGGCTGCTAGAAACCCCACACAAGCGTTGTTACCTGTAGTTTGAGCCACCAGCCATTCAAAAAAATAGTGTGGTTTTCCTATACATTGTCCCTTCATCCAATTCAAGGACAAGAATGGACATGACCCCGACCCTTACCAATACACAAAAATGTATAATGGTGCAGTATGTATATGTATTAGTATGTGTATACATACGTGTATATATATATACATACATAATATCATATATACATAAACATAGCTACTTATGACTTATGAAACATCACCTCATTCCTGAAACCCCAAACGAGCAGAAATACACGGAGGTTTCCCCAAACAACCAAACATGTTATGTAGGGAATCTGCAGTACATGTCATTATCAGAATGAAACAATCATTTTTTCAAGTTCCTGTGGGTTCCAGGTTGTCATTGATTACAAGACATGGTGTATGGCTTGAAGTTGGGCATCCCATGCCATGGGAATGGGAATCCAAACATATTGGATGCAGTATATAAATAGCCATGAAAATGGCTTGATGACCATCCCCCGTTCTGGGTATATCAAGGTGTATCACCCAACTTTTGATTATAGCTGGTGAATATCTCGTTATAAGTGTTATAACATGTTATAACCCTATTATTCCCTATGATATTTCCCACGAAATCCCGATTTTGAATGGTGACATTCCATCAGCTTTCAACTTTTCTCCTCTGCTTTCACGCCACCTGGCGTGCACGGATCCCAGACTTTTTGGGGCTGGTCCTCTCTGCAACTTGGATCACCTCTATGAAGTCGTTTTATATATGATTTCATAGTGGGATAGTAACGGATACCATCTGGGTATTTAACATAGCCATGGAAAATCCCTTATAAATGGAGGTTTATAGCTGGGAAAATCATCTGTAAATGGGCAATTTTCCATAGCTATGTTAAACAACCAGAGGGTAATTATGGGATAATTATGGGATAACTACAATAAAACATCCTGAATGACTAAGTCTATTATTTACGAATTATATACCATAAAATATTAGAATACACAACCACAATCATAGATAATCCCAACATAATTATTTATGCGTTCACTATAGAATTATATATTATATACATAGTGATATATCAGGATATATCTACCATATGAACGCTAGTTAACCTAAACCTACTTATTTTGAGAGCTAATGATTGGGGGTCCCACTTTGCATCGCTGCGACATGACCGGCATTTTAGGAGCCAGAAAAAAGCTAGCCTCTGCTAGTCTAATCTGGCAATTGGCAAGGGAAAATCATCCTTTGTTTCAATCTATATCATATAATTCTGCAGTTCTATATATATCAATTTCTACCATTTTATGATATTTTCTATTTTATGTATGGATAGATCAACAGCGACAAGTGGAGGATTTCCCATTGCCAGGATTACACCCGGCTGTGATGCATCGTGCTGCGTATCAGGACCGACTTTTCTGCTTGCACGACCTTCGGCAGTACCCTGGGTACCCGTACGGAGCAGGGAACGGTATTGCTCGATGATCTAAGCAGTGGGACAGTGCCATCCTTATTTGGGTGGTGATAATTTCGAGGCAGGCCACGCGCCGCAGCTTAGTCTATCTTTCATTGATGTTCTTTTTAATGTGTTCTTTTTTCCAGAGACTCTGCTGCAGTACGTTTCTCAAAATTTGTCAAACCCGTTCAAAGGATCCGAGCAGCCTGGCCACGTCGAGGCTGACGGCTGCAAACAGCAAAACAGAAACCTTCCCTAACACTGGAAAAACAGAAACAAAAACAGATCCAGGAGCCGAAAGTCAAGAAACATGTGAAGATCATGAACATTTCTCCTATTTCCGGTCAGGGAAGGCTTCGAGGCTGGGGTCTCCAAAAAGACCTCTGATACTGCGCTTGCTCTCTGTTCAGAGACAACGCCATAAGTCAAAGCCAAATCTCAGGTCTTGAGCCTTAGCCATTTCGAAAGACTGGCAGGTGAACAATATCTTGGCACAAAAGTTTGTCGACCTGGAGATACCAGATTGAAGTTTATTTTTAGGTTATTTTTTACTGGCACCTGCCGGAACTACAAATCTTTGAACCTTGTCATCCTGAGACTTTGTGAGACATCATCGAACGCTAAGCTCGCGGCGATAAGTCAATCAAGCTCGCGACTAGTTGAAACGATGCGCTGCGAATACCTCCACTCAGTTGGGATCATCCTCTCATTACGGTTGAATGTCTGCTTGAAACCACCAGCCAATAGTTGCATTATAAACCCACTCTAACTGCATGTATATATATATATACATATTATATTTCCATTAAAACCCACAGTTATGCTTTTGCATCCTTTTGCTATAGACATTTTGAGACCAACTTTGTCAAGGAATAAAACCGCCAGCCAAAAGTCCAACAGTGACCGTCTGCCATGGCACGTGTCCGTCTGCCCGATGATGTACCGGAACAGGTACGGGTGCTGCAGTGCCAAGCGTTTCAGGGCCAGGCGCAAGTCTTGCTGGTCCTCCGGTGTCATTCATGTTGTGGCAAACAGGGGAACACCTTGGGTAAGTGACTGGTAAGTTGGTGTATAACTAGGCTGAAGATTTATGCTGGACAGACCAGCGACAAATAAAACTGGCCGGGCTCGAGCCCTCCAGAAGAACCTTCGATCTTACGATTCTTACCGTATGTATTTGGCCTGGGAATTGGGCGAAATATCAGTCACCTCATCTTTTCAAAACCAGGTGTCCGGTGTTCATCATGTTAGAAGAGGGAAGAACCTCTGTTCTTTGATTGTGATAGTTTGGTTTTTGAAAATGATAGTTTCATTCTGGGTGAAACAATGCAGTTGTTTTTTGCTTTTCAATTTGGGGATGGTTTTCCAACATGTTTCTTTTCATTTTCTAGGGGTAAGTTTTCATGCTAAAATTGAAACCTGGAGAGGCGGGGGCAGGTCAGAACAAAGAAACATGCTGTAATTCCAACAACAAGTATCATGATTACTGAACCAAACACACACAGATACACACAGTTGTCATGCTTAAATTGAAACCTGAAGGGGTGGGGGCAGGTCAGAACAAAAAAACATGCTGTAATTCAAACAACAAGTATCATGATTATGAACCAAACACACGCACATACACAGACACACTGCCAGTGACCATCAAGTATCATGAACATATAAATATATACATAAATGTATTTATATATATATATATATGTATACTTACTCAATGGTCATGCACATATGATACCAATATAGTGTCACCAAGAGTCATGCGCATATGCCACCATCACAAATCATAATATACCATCCAGTGTCCCCCAGTTGTCAATACTATGCACACATGTCCTGAACATAAATATGCTACCATTAATTTGTACCTGCAGGTTTCCTGGACAGGTGATGCCGTTGCAGCAGCCTTCAGCTGGGGATGGTGGGGATAACGTCCCTGAACAAGGGACTAGCCCTGAACAAGGGCATCATAACCTCTAAAATAATGGGCTTCAATTCCAAGACTTGGCATTCCAGGCCTTGGCAATTGAATTAAGACATCAAATTCAATTCCAAGACTTGGCGTTCCAGGCCTTGGCAATTGAATTAACACATCAAATTCAATTCAAGACTTGGCGTTCCAGGCCTTGGCAATTGAATTAAGACATCAACTTCAATTCCAAGACTTGGCATTCCAGGCCTTGGCAATTGAATTCGTATCCATTCCAAGAAAAGGGTTAAACAAAAATCTGTCCCGTAGCTGGCAAATACATACATACACCTCCCTTTCATTTTCAAAGTTGTGAGAATTCATCAGGAATAATTCCAGTCTAGATTTTTTTCATATTCTTATTTTCACAAATGAGTTGGATGACTATATGCTCCTTTTTTTGTCTGGTGCGTGGCATTTTTGAGGCTTGGTGTGATCTACAGGTGTTCAATGCATATACATGACTATACTCATACACTTCTAGTGGATTGCATGCTCCAACCATCAGGTTCCCAAATGTGGTTGTAGGAATGGAGCTGCATAGGAACCTAAATACCGACTGATTTGACATTAGGATTTCAAATGGCAGACCTTCAACCAAATTAAACAAAAACACACTGCTTTTGAAGACATGATTAGATATGAATAGTTGTGACTAGTGTAACGATGGAACAGTTTGAATTTGCTTACTATGGTCTTTGCACCAAAAGGTGTCGAACTTTAGCTGCTCTTGACAGAAAACACATTGTACCAACAGGGCACTGTTACTCTTCTAGATAAACCATACTCTTAGAGGGTCATTCCATCATGCCTCCCTTGGGGATTTCCATTCAAGGTTCCAAATGTCCAAGAGGAACAGAATTGCTTGTTTGCTTCTCTTGGGCTTCAATTTCAATATGATGTTGTTATTGATGATGATTATTAAATGTGGAAGCTGAACATGAAATTCAGACTTGGTCATTTTCCAAGTCTGCAAAATCTCTATGGTTCGGTCTCCCAGAAAATGTTTTGGCACAATAGCGAATCTTAAATGCACTTCAAGACTTGGCCTCTCAAGTCTTGCACTGACAAACGTGATCACTGAGACTTTAAGGTTTTTCTCGATGTGATGCAAATGAGTTCTTCAAAAGTTCAAGGCTTGAATCCAAGTCCAACCACTCATGTTTGTCTCAATTGGCTACACTTCCCAGGTCTTTCACATATGGTTGATTCATGGTAGTTACCATTAACATGGTTCAGAACTTGGCTGTATCAGTATTACTTTTTTGTCCTTTCATGACCTGGTCTTTCAAGACATGAACACATTTTTTTCAAGACTTGGCATCCCAAGTTTTGAAACAAAAAGGTAAAAGTTCACCCTTAACTTGTCCAAATGCATTGCACCAAGTTCTGGATTTGATTGGACTTGGCATTCCAAGTCTGGAACTCAACTTGACCCATCTTGTTAACTATTTGACCTTCCAAGTCTTCAAGCTCAAGACTTGGGTTTTTGTTGCAAGGTTTTCTGCCTTGGCTCACCAATGAAGTTAGTCTTTGCGACTTTTGAAAAATCATAGGTTTCAACACTTGCTACCGCCCCGAGCCTGAAAACTTGCAAACAAGCTGTTCTGTAGTTTGATACTTGTTATGTTTCCTGTTGGGTGTCCAGAGTGGTAAAGATTGGTCTTGTGCTCACGACTTGGAACTCCAAGTCTGGAGCCCAAGAATGATATATTGCAATACTTGGCCTTCAAGTGTTCGAAATGATATTTTTCCACTTCCAATTTTTAACCCCTCCTAACATTTTACAACCATGTACTAAACTGTGTAACAAGCGGAAGCTTTATACCTGTGTTTATTTTCTGCCGTATGTGGGGCTGTGCCCGCATGATTCTTTACACATGATGCCATCTTAAAACTTGGCTTCTCAAATTTTGAAACCATTAGTTGTATGCTTGCACATGCCTTTTACAAAAGACACAATGTGGAATTTCATGACATCATGCCATCTTCAAGACTTGGCTTCCCCAGTCTTGAAACTGTTTGCAGCTAGTTTTTGCTAACAATAGACTGTGGACATCCAAGGCATGAACACGATGGGTTGTTTTTCAAGACTTGGCATCCCAAGTTCTGAAACGTGACATTTTTTCAACTCATGCCCCTAACTTGACAACGGTACCAAGTGTAACACCCATCCAGATTTGGCAGTCCAAAGCGGTAGGGATGGGCATTGTGCAGCTTAAGAATGGTGCATTGCAAAATTTGGCCTCAAAGTGTGAAAATGAGGTTCCTGAGAAAATGGTTTAGAAACTGCCACACTTGCCTTCCCAAGTCTTGAATCCTTTTGGGGCAAAGAATTTCAACATTAGACCCTTGCCACGAATTATGTCTTTCATGATTTGGTCTCCCAAGACATGAACACAAGTGAACATGATTGTCAAGACTTGGCAGCCACAGGTCTGAAATCTTACACCTTTTGTTTGAAGACTTGGCATGCCAAGTTTTGAAATGTTACATTTTTGCAACTCCATGTCCCCAAGTCTTGACAATGACTGCGCTATTCAAGACGTGGCTTTCCAAGTCTTCAAACTTGTCGGGGTAACGAATTTCAACATTAGACCCTTGCCGAGAATTATGTCTTTCATGACTTGGCCTTCCAAGACATGAACACAATTGGAAAAAGTTTTTCAAGACTTGGCAGCCACATTTCTGAAATCTAACACCTTGTGTTCAAGACTTGGCATGCCAAGTTTTGTAATGTTGTTACATTTTTTTGCAACTCCATGTCCCCAAGCCTTGACAATGATTGCCCTATTCAAGACTTGGCTTTCCAAGTCTTGATTTTTTTTGGCGGTATAGAATTTCTTCAGTATAAGTAAGATTTACTGTATGTCTTTCATGACTTTGTCTTCCAAGACATGGACACAAGTGAAAATGATTGTCAAGACTTGGCAGCCACGGGTCTGAAATCTTACATTTTTCTCTCAAGACTTGGTATCCCAAGTTTTGAACTGCTACATTTTTGCAACTCCATGTCCTCAAGTCTTGACAATGATTGCACTATTTGAGACTTGGCTTTCCAAGTCTTGAAACTTTTTGCTGTATAGACTTTCAACAGTATAACAGAGACTTATGTCTTTCATGACTTGGTCTTCCAAGACATGAACACAAGTGAAAATGATTGTCAAGACTTGGCAGCTGCAGGTCTGAAATCCCACACCTTTTTTTCACGACTTGGCATGCCAAGTTTTGAAACGCTGCATTGTTGCAACTCCTTGTCCCCAAGTCTTGACAATGGTTGCGCTATTCAAGACTTGGCTTTCCAAGTCTTCAAACTTTTCGGTGTCAAGAATTTGAACATTAGACTCAAATAAGAACTTTCATGACTTGGTTTTCCAAGACGTGACCACAAGTGAACATGATTGTCAAGACTTGGCAGCAACAGGTCTGAAATCTTACATTTGTCTTTCAAGACCTGGTTTGCCAAGTCTTGAAACGTTACGTTTTGTGGCAACTCCATGTCCCCAAGTCTTGACAATGATTGCCCTACTCAAGACTTGGCTTTCCAAGTCTTGATTTTTTTTGCGATATAGAATTTCAACAGTATAAGTAAGATTTATGTCTTTCATGACTTTGTCTTCCAAGACATGAACACAAGTGAAAATGATTGTCAAGACTTGGCAGCCACAGGTCTGAAACCAAGTCTTGAACTGCGACATCTTTTTGCAACTCCATGTCCCGAAGTCTTGACAATGATTGCACTATTCAAGACTTGGCGTTCCAAGTCTTGAATCCTTTTGGGGAAAGAATTTCAACATTAGACCCTTGCCAAGAATTATGTCTTTCATGACTTGGCCTTCCAAGACGTGAACACAAGTGAACATGATTGTCAAGACTTGGCAGCCACCACAGTTCTGAAATCTTGCATTTTTCTTGAGACTTGGCAATATCCCATGTCTTGAAATGTTACATTTTTTGGCAACTCCATGCCCCCAAGTCTTGACAATGATTGCACCATTCAAGACTTGGCTTTCCAAGTCTTGAAACTTTTTGCTGT